TGTGTCTCTTTATTTAGTGTACGGCTCAATCCACTTCCACTCCTCCCACACAACGCATCCCTGCTGGGGCTCCATGAAGGCATAGTTGTCGGGGCACTGGATGTAGTCGGCCTTCTCCTGTCCCTCGGGGCACACCCAGTAGTGGGTGGGGTCGGAGATGTCGCGGAATTTGCGAGCATGATCCTCAACGATGCTGCAGTCCGGCTCGGCGTAGATATCCTGACCTCTGTAGGCCGTGCTGAGGGCCAGGAAGAGGCCCAGAAGCAGGCAGCATAAAAGCGTGCCTGGAAGGAAATTGGGAATGAAAAATCTTGTGCATTCGCCGGAACTGTTTAGGAATCTCACTCTTGTACATGATGTGAATGCTCGACGATGCCAATGTTGCAATCGAAGGCTGTGGAATGGCATATTTATAGGGTTCAAATGATTGCAAATATTCTGCTTTTTTTTTTGAATGGGGACGCTTCTTATCGCTCTTCCCGTGACATTTGTTTCCCGTCATCGGAGGCACAAGCAAAATCACTTACTCCAAATGAGTTTCGACTTATTTTTAGCCAGCGATTCGGTGTCACGGAGCCCCCTCGCCCCGTCGCATTTGTGCAATCATAACAAGCCGCATTTCTCTTGGCCACATTAATTGGATTTGACCCGAGACCGTGTCGACTTAATCGATAATTAGCCGCTGCACTGCAACGTTGCCTTCACATCATCTTGGTCAAAATAAAATAATCAGCGGCTTAAAGCAGCGTCATCTTGGCTGTTGTGTCTCCTGGGCCGAGCCATCGTTAGCTACTGCCGAGGCACCCTGCTGATTGGCAACACCTCTGGCCAGACTGGCTCACTGCACCCCCTCTCCCCTCGCCCCTCCCCCAGCTGGATACCAGCGCCATCTCCAAGCCATCACGGCCTGCTACTTCAACGCGGAAACTGTAATTACACTTTAAAACATTTTGTAAGCGATTTTCAGGGTTTTTGTTTTCGTCAAACTTTTGCTACTAAACGGTTTTTGCTTTTCGTTTCGTTTCTTTCTTTGGTTTTAGCTTTTTTGGCTTTGCATTTCGTGATATTTGTTGTTGTCTTTTAATTTTTGCTGGCTTTTTGGCTACGCCACGAGTATTTATGTTGGTCAAGTGGCCAGGTCTGGCCTGGCGCCCAAAAATGCTTGAGGCAACCGGACAAAAAGCCACAAAGAAACAAACAGTTAACATAAATGTAAAATGGTGCTTTGCAAAATGACAAAACACAAATAGAAATGCTGAGACAAAACTTAACAAAGCCAACAAACAAAAAAAAAACAACGCCACGGCAAGCCGGTGGTCAGCAATTAATTAATGAATGGGCCGATAGACCTAAATGTTGCACAATTTAAACGGATTCAGATTTCGGCATTTGTTTATGAATTATGGAATTATGGAACACATCCGATCCGATTATGGATTCGGCTTGGATGAGCAGCAACTGAAGTTACGCTCGAAAAGCTGTCAATCAATAGGCATTCGAATGAGTCAACAAAGATCATTATAATGATGATGATGATGATGATGACGATGGTGGTGGTGGCGCGTGGTGTGCCAAATTATGATGTAGTATTTTGAGCATGTTCCCATCAATTAGAGAACAACATTCGAGTGCAGTTAGTTTTTATCGGATCTAAATTTGGTGCAGCCACAAAAGTTTCAATTTATTTAATATCTTGTTCCTTCCTCTCCTCCCTACACCTGGGACAATCATTTGTCAGTCTGTGTTTCTTATCGTGACATCGAGATGCTGGTTTCCGATCTGGGTACATCTCTCCTGTGTGGTTGGGTATATTGTATTTCTGAAAACGAATGCAACAGATGGAAGAAGTAAGTTTGATATAATAAACTATGGTTTATAAGCTTTGGTTCCCCCCATTTTATCCGGAATAATCTGACTTTCAAATAAGTTATTTTCTACTACTATTCAAAGGGGTATCCCATAGTCCTGTACTATATACATATGTATGGGTGGTTGCCTTTTGTTTCTCTTCAGATCACTGCACAGCTCTTCTGATTTCCTACCATCTACTCCGCCTCTGTGCGACTCTGCCGCGACGTTCTGTTCGATTCCCCAGATAATAATCAACGGATGTGCGCGTGTGTCAAAATGTCAATACTTTTGTTATTCTTTTGCTGCCCCCCAATCCTATAAAAGTGCCGTTTGGAGAGTGGGGAGCTCACAGTTGCTTCTTTCTACGGAGAAACTTTCGTTGTTTTTACTGCTAACAAAATGAATTCTGGTGGGTACGGATGTGGAGTCCCCAATGGCGCTTCTTCATATTGACCATATCGATTTTTCTATGGACTGCAGTCTTTGCAGCTCTTTGCGCCGTCCTCTTGGCCGCCATGCTGATGGGTGGCGTCAATGCGGACGCCGGACGTTCGGCCTGCCAGGATGAGTCCGAGCTGGGACAGACCTATACGCACCACTTCGATGCCGCCAAGTACTGGCTGTGCGAGACTCTGGGCGTGCCCGCCACCGAGGTGGACTGTCCCTCTGGTCTGGCGTACATGCATCTGCTCAAGGAGTGCATTCCCTGGGCCAGCTACATCTGGAAGAAGCCAGAGATGCCGCCAACAGTTGCCTAAGAATAAACGCCAAACCAGAAAGATTTAAAAATACCAGCTCTTGTTTTTGAAATATTTAGTTTGCTTGGATCCATTTTATTTGTTATATTTATTTACTGCAATTTGATATGATTTCTGATTTGAAACGGGTTATCACCGTCTCTGTTCCAAAACGGAAGAAGATTTACCATTTAACAGGATCTATTTCTTCGCTACTGATTATCAATATCCCCTAAAAGATGTTGCTATCCATATTTGTGGTACTTTTTGGAATATGTTGAGAGAAAACCAGACAACACAGAGATGATAGGTGCATTCGTCATACAGTAGTAGTACCCCTAATTTTTGGCTAAATTTTCTAAGCACTTTGTGAAGAAATGGCTCACGCCACGCACACATTCACATATCTTGCAGGCCGATTACACTGACACCCATTAGGACTTTCCTAGGCACCGAAGATGGGGCCTCACCGAACGCTGGTTTGGAGGATCAGGAGACCAAAAGAAATCCGAATGTGACTTTACAAAGGACCCCGAGGGCTGTTGGTCTGCAACATTACCTAAATTAATACAGCGCACATATTCATTAAAAACACACATATGTACATATGTACATAAGTGCCGCTGACAGATGTTGCCACTGAACTTGACAGTCGCTGCGGCACCCCCCGCGGTCCAATTTCGTCTTTATCAATGCAAAAACAAAAGACACTCGCCAACAATAAAAGGCAACCGCAAAAAGCTTCCCCGCCGGCTGTTGGTTTTTGGTTTTTGTTTTTGGCTTTTGCTTTGATGATTCGCGCTGCGGCAGATGCGCAACGCTGGCAGCGACGCCGCCGCGCATGCGTCGGAGCTCTAGGCGGGCACTTGTTGCCGTTGCCGTTGTCGTTGCCGTTGTTGCTGGTTCGCTTTTGGAGAGTGAGTGCATTTGAAGAGTTACATAAAGTACCAAAAGCGGAGAAAAAAAATAGCTCTAGCTCTAGCTCTACCTCTGCTGCTGCTGTTGCTGTGGCTGTGGATGGTGCTCTGCCAGCGTCTTCTTCGCAGTGTGTTTGGGATTGCTGGGAGCTTTTTGGGTTTCGTGTGTTTTTGGCTTTTTGTGGCTTGCCGCGGTTATGATTTTGTATAAAAGTGCATGCTGCGCATCAGACAGCAGTATAGTTCGCATTTGTCCACCGGTGGAGCATCACAACTCCAAGTTCAGTTCAGTTTCCGCACCCCCATATCACAGAAGCTGCTGGTGCTCACAGAACGGTTAGTGTCCCCCAAAGGACAATCTCCCATATTATTCTTTGTGTCTGATTCTGGCATGGCATGGCAATGTCCAATTGGTATTTCTATTACCAAACCTCTACAAACGGGTCAAAGCAGTCATCACTTAGCTTCGAGCTTCGAAAAACAATTAAAATTCTTGTGGCACAGAAGGCAGGCAGAGGAGTAACACGATTCGGGCCCGTGCCAGCAAGCCATCACAAACAATAACGCAAAGTGCAGAAAGCCAAACAAAACGAAAAGCAAACCAAACCAAACCGAACCGAACCGAATCCGGGTGTTCGAGTGTGCGGGAGTGCGAGTGAGTGTGGCCGCAAGAAGGAGAGACAATAATTGGCACCAGTAGTCGCTGGAAAGCAAAGAAAACGAAAGGAAAATATGTGTCACTCACTCGCTGCACACATGCCCCATGCCCCACCGCACGAGGAGTAGGAGGAGTAGGAGTAGGAGTAATGCCGCAGAGAAGTCATCCAAGACAGTTGGCAATTTCTCACTGTTTGCGATTTTGCAATGTCATAAAAATCTATGACACTAGTCTCCCCCCACCCCCCTCACGCTGCTGCTACTGCAACAGCGGATGATCACGCCCCCGCAGCGCTTTGGGCCCTTATCTGCTGGCTTTTGTTCAATTCTGCCACAAATTGAAAGGGAAAGGGAAATGGAAATGGATAGGAAGAAAGAAAAGTTTCACTTTGTGCTTTGAATGGGATTTGCCTGTAATGCAGAGACGTGGGAGCTGGCAGGCCATAAAACTGAGTCGGCTCACGATCTTCGGCTTCTGGGCATTTGGCCAAAACCTAATTAAATGCGAATATTTCAATGCCAGGCGACACGCTCCGGCAGTTGGCCAGTTCTTGGCATTGGCTTGCCGCCTGCCAGGCCAAACCAAGATTGATGACCGATTGAAGCCTCTGTGACTGTGCCTTTGCCTATGCCTATGCCTTTGTGGCCCCCACATTTCTCGGTCAGATAGTCGGTAATGGGGCAAAAAACTTATGCAACAATAACGCAATTTATCTATACAATTTGTTTCTTGCTTTCCTCAACGTTCCATCTCTCCTTCCATCTCCATCTCGTTGCAGCTTGAATAATTCGCATTTGAAACGCGTCCACAACAGCAGCAGAAGAAGCAGCATTAGCCATGCGATTGGTAAGCAGAGTAGAGCAAAGCAGCGCCAGAGCCAGAGCCAGAGGCAGAGGCAGAGCATCGACCGGAGCGGCACAAAAAACTAATTTCCTCGTTTTTGTTGCAGCTATTTGGTGTCATCGCCGTCGTCGTCGTCGCCCTGTTGCACGATGCAGCAGCCGCGAAACGTGAGGCGCCGCTGAACAACGGCTACCTGCCACCGTCATCGTCCTCGCCCCAGAGGCCGTCCTCCAAGTACGGAGCACCGCCGCCCAGCTCCTATCTGCCCCCAGCCTCTGGCCCAGCACCCTCCTTCAATGCTGGCCCGTCCAGCAGCTATGGCGCTCCCCCTCAAAGTAGTTCGTCGGGTGGTCCATATCCGGCATCGGCCCCCCGCCCCTCTAGCTCCTATGGAGCCCCACCGCAGCGACCATCCTCCAGCTACGGGGCACCGCCCAGTCGTCCCAGCCAATCGTACGGACCTCCACCACAGGCCAAGAAGCATCACCATCGTCGTCCGTCTTCCAGCTACGGGGCTCCTCGACCAGCACCCCCCTCTTCTTCCTATGGAGCGCCTGCACCACCCTCAAAATCTTATGGCGCACCCCCGCAGCCATCATCGTCTTATGGAGCTCCTGCACCCCCTTCCAAGTCTTATGGCGCACCCCCGCAGCCATCATCGTCTTATGGAGCTCCTGCGCCACCCTCATCGTCCTATGGTGCCCCCGCTCCTCCATCCTCTAAGTATGGACCTCCCAAGTCTGCGCCGTCATCCAGCTACGGAGCCCCGAGACCAGCACCACCTTCCTCTTCTTACGGAGCACCTGCACCACCATACAAATCGTATGGTGCACCCCCGCAGCCATCATCATCTTATGGAGCTCCTGCACCACCCTCATCGTCCTACGGCGCACCCGCGCAGCCATCCTCTTCCTACGGGCCACCCAAGTCCGCACCCGCACCCGCACCACCATCCTCCAGCTATGCAGAACCTTCCCAAGGTCCCACAAACTCGTACCTGCCTCCCGTCTCGCGGCCCTCGAAGCCTTCCTCGGACTACAATGCGCCCAGTGTGAGCAGCTTCGTTCCACTTGCATCGGCGCCCTCGACCAACTATGGTGCTCCATCGAAGACCCAGACGCTGGGAAGCAGTGGATACACCTCGGGGCCGGCCGCATCCTACGAGGCGCCAGCGGCACCTCCCTCCTCGTCGTACGGTGCTCCATCGGTCTCCTCATCGTTCCAGCCAATCTCAGCACCCTCGTCCAGCTATGGAGCTCCCAGCGCCGGATCCAGTTCTGGCAGCTTTTCCTCGGCCCCTTCTTCGTCCTACGGTGCCCCAAGTAAGGGTTCCTTCCAATCGGCGCCCTCCAGCTCTTACTCTGCCCCAAGCCCAAGCGCCAACAGTGGAGGATCGTATCCTTCCGCTCCTTCGTCATCGTACTCCGCCCCAAGTCCTAGTGCTAACAGCGGAGGATCATACCCAGCGGCTCCCTCGTCATCGTATTCCGCGCCAAGTCCTAGTGCCAACAGCGGAGGATCTTACCCAGCTGCTCCTTCGTCCTCGTACTCCGCACCTAGTCCTGGTGCCAATAGTGGTGGACCGTATCCATCGGCACCATCCAGCTCGTACGGTGCTCCCAGCGCCAGCTCGAATAGTGGCGGACCCTATCCGGCTGGCCCATCCTCTTCGTACTCCGCACCCAGCAGCAGTTCGAACAGTGGTGGACCCTACCCAGCGGCTCCCTCATCATCGTACTCCGCACCAAGTCCCAGTGCCAACAGTGGAGGATCGTATCCTTCCGCTCCCTCGTCATCGTACTCCGCCCCAAGCCCTAGCGCCAACAGTGGAGGATCGTATCCTTCGGCTCCCTCGTCGTCGTACTCCGCACCCAGTCCTAGTGCCAACAGCGGAGGATCCTATCCTTCCGCACCATCCAGTTCGTACGGTGCTCCCAGTACTAGCTCGAATAGTGGAGGACCCTATCCGGCGGCCCCATCCTCTTCGTACTCCGCACCCAGCAGCAACTCGAACAGTGGTGGACCTTACCCTGCTGCACCATCCAACTCGTACTCGGCGCCAGCTGCTCCTCCCTCGTCTTCTTATGGTGCCCCAGCCACAGGACCCTCATCTTCGTACAGTGCTCCCTCCACGTCATACGGTGCTCCCTCGTCGGGATCTAGCTCTGGAAGCTTCAGCTCTGGATCTGGCTCTTCTTTTTCGACAGCTCCTTCATTTGGCTCGTCTTCGTCCGCCTCGGGAAGCGGTGGCTATCCCTCGGCTCCGTCCTCCTCCTATAGCGCTCCATCCAGCTCGTATGGAGCTCCTGCTACTGGTGGCGACTCAGCTCTGAGCTTTCCCAGCGGTCCTTCGTCCAGCTACAGCTCTGCACCTGCCAGCGGATCGTCCAGCTCTGGTTCGTACCCCAGTGCACCGTCGTCCTCGTACGGGGCACCCGCACAGGACTCCGGCTACAACTACTCCGGTCCCAGCCAAGTGCCCGAGACCATCCAGCAGGGCTACAGCTCCGACGGCGGCTACACCTTCCGCAAGAAGAAGTGAGCGGTGGTGAAGCCCTGCATCGCATCCGCCAAGTGCCTTCGAATACTCGAATCGAACCCATCATCAACCCGTCATCGCTTTCATCTCCAATGCGTCGCCATTTGTTTCTTATCTGTAAATTATTCCCCGAATGACGCCCAATCCGTCCGTCCATTCTTCTTGTCTCCCATTGAACTCTAGCCGTAATTCACTGTATCATTAGATATATGTAACAAAATGTTTGTTGAATAAACACGTTGAAGATCAGTTCGAGATGTGGTGCAATCTGGGGGCAATCAGTTCGGGCCGATCGCTTGGCTTCACATTCGCGCTTTATCCACGACATCCGCGACATTTCTGAGATTCTTCGGCTCGTCTAATTGGCCCTCAAGCGGCCAGCCAAAGCCAAATGACAGTTGAAGGTTCGGATCGGCTAACAATGCAAATGCAAAAATCTTCGAAAATACCGGATATACTCGTACAGCTGCCACAACATCAGCCACATCCACCGAGACGGCAGCGAACATCCACCGACATGACAGCCGTCCCACTGAAGCCGCAGCAGCCTGCTATTAGAGGGCAATTCTCGAGCGACACAAGTTATGGGCTTATGATGGAGAGTGCTCAGATTAGAGATTCCTATCTAATTGGGATTACAGCTTAATTACAGCTACAACAGTAGGTAGCATCATTAGCATGCTAATTGAGAGTACCAGTAGTGCTGATGGAGATGGTGGCAGCCTGGAGGATTCTGCGGCTTTGGCACTTTAGCTATCCGATTTTCTTCTAAATAATATAAGTAGCTGGCTCATCGTTGCCTCATGCTTGCAGATCTTCTTGGGGTCTCGGCAGTGCATGGGACCAAGATCCCCGAACTGCATTGTTGGGGACCGTCACCGTCACCGTCACCGTCACCGTCACTGCTCTGCACTTTAACTTTGGGCTGTGAAACTTCCACTCGCGATAATATAATCCCATTGTCTGGGGTATTGTCACTTGGCCGCTTTTGTTGGCCCGTAATGTGTGTGTTTATTACACAAGCCAAGAGTCAGTTAAATAAGTACTGAGAAATAGAATAAATAACTAGACAGAGTTTTGCATTTGCATCAACAGAGAAACCATTTTAATATGTATATATGTATATATAATTTTTATTTATTAAATACTTTTGTTTCATTTCGATTTTGTATGCCATTTTGCTATGCTTAAAACATTGATATGTATTACGTTTGGTTTAGTTTTCATCGTAATCTTTCCGTCTCGTGATACGTACTTCCCCTCTTCTTCTTTTTTGGTTAACATAATGCCACTAAAAGTTATGTGGAATCAGTAGATTCCGTATAGTAACAGTAACGTAAATCCTTTCAACTAATTGCACAACAAAATTGATAGGTTTTTGTTTAGTTTATTTTGATGCGAGCCCAAGCGAGGGGTGGCCATCGCAGGATCGTCTCGTTTAATGCATAAATTATTTGGTGGTTTTAGTTTTGGTTGATGGTAACATTACAAACAATTCAACTAACTTGATTATATACAAAGTGGATTAAACTGCTCGAAAGAACTCTTAAGAGAAATCAAAACACATTCATAGAATTATATGCATATATAGTTTTTGTCGGAATTTACTTTAAGAGTTTTGGTTAAAACGGATTTGATTTGATTCAATTTGAACTTTATCGAAATGTACACACTCAGATCTGAAGTAAGATATAATAACAATAACAACGAACAGATTTGGTATGATATATCATATATATGTAGTATTGTATGTATTCCTAGATGGTTCAAACACTCAGTTCCGCTTATGTAAACGTTAAAAAACATTTATGACCCCAATACAACAAACATATATGAGGCTCAATCAAAAAGCAGTCAACATTCATTACACTTAAGTGAGTTATATACGGGTATACGGGTTTAACACTGTGTCCAGTTAGGTTTGCATATTAGCTTAGTTGAGTTGAGTTTTTGGTAAGATTTTTAGTTTGGTTTAGTTTAGTTCTTCTTGCCAACGGGACGTAACTTTAACAAACGGGCCATTTGAGAATGACAAAAAAGAGGAACCAACACCCACATCTCTCTCGATTATACATAAATATCTGAAAAAAACCCACCTCATAGCAATCGTTATTATGGTTATTTGGGGTCTCCAATTTCGATTTCGAATTAGATTTATGTTCAGATTTGGGTTCAGATTCAGGTTCAGGTTTTTTTGGGTCTTAGGCAGCGTGTGTACGTAGACTAGAATTCCTTTCGCAGGTGTCTCTTTTTGGTTATAACTTTCTAAATTCAGTGTCTGTCTTTCTATATATCGTATGTATGTATATTTATATGTAGGTATGTATGTATATATGGTTGTACATATGTATAGGTATATTATTAGGTACTACGACGCAACATTTTACATATGTCTGTTCTGTACGAGTATGTTCTGCAATACTATATGTACTTCTTCTGTGGTTTTTGCTCTTTGAGAGCAGCTAAAATTCATTTGTCTATATGTGTAACTCAATATGCCCCTCAAGATGCTCTCACTTACACAACTATTTTGTTGTTTACATACAATATGTGGTATGGTAGGGTATCTCGATATATCTCCTATATAGCTTACAAAACAACAGTTACACAAATGATATGTATTTTTTGCTATAATATATTACTAGTTCCGCCTTTATTTTGATATGTTTCGTTTGCGTTTATTTGTGGATAGTTTGCTTTGCTTTGTTCTTTGTTCGTTCTGGAAGGACACATGATTCACATTATATGCATCTGTAAAGTACGAGTTTATGCGCTGGTCCTCCGATATGCTAATTGGGGAATGCCGATTCATATTGCTATTCGTAGGCCAAACTTTGCAGCCACTTTTCATCGATAAATAGTGTATTGCCTAGATTTGAATGCAATTCTCTCCAATGGAAAATGCATTTGATATGTATTGAGTTCATCGATTTCTGAATCAGACATTCAGTTGATCGATTTCCGCATTTCGGATTTCATTTTCGACATTTATACATAAGTACTATATACTTTCACGACTAGCAACATAAAAGTCAACAACAACAGAAATCAAGTTCGAAATCCATAGAATATAACGCTTTAAGCTTGTGGAAACCTATACATAATTGATATACGAGATAAATTGGCTAAATTATACGTTAATTTTACAGTCAGCTTTCTGCACTTTATACCCTGAGCACTTGTGTGTTTAACGTACGTTTCAAAATACTTTCTGTACCCCACTCTGCTTCCCGCTTCCCGCTTCCACCATTCCTAATTCACCATTCTTTCACCATCCCTAACAAGCGCAACTCAAAATCGAAAAACTCAACGGATAAAACGGTAGCATACTTGCAGGCTCCCCCTTAACCTCGACACTTACCACCTGGGACACATCCGCATCCACATCGACATCCACATCTGCTGGGACTACGACTACTCCACTCAGAAGGCCGTATTGTCCTGCTCTGGCGTGGGTATGGCCATGCCGGACTGGCCCAACTGTCCGCCACCGCTTCCAGTGGCCGTGTCCAGCATCTTCTTCACCTGCGCCTGTGCCGTCTGCTGGTTCATGCGTCGGGCCTCCGCCACAGGTAGATCGTCGTCGGACTCCAAGGCAGGATTGATGCGTCCGTTACGCTCGTCCTTGCCCGCCATAGTGGCAGCTCCATAGGAACGTGCCAGGGGGCCAGCCATCACCGACAGCTGCTCTCCGGACTCCGATGGATCGCCCACGCGCTGCACATCCTCGGGAATGTTGACCACGCAGCGGAAATAGTCGTAGCTAGGCGGCAACTTTCCAGACTCGAACATCATTCTGGGCGAGGGTTGGGGAGAGAATGGAGGAGTTAGCGATACCCAAATTAATACCAGAATTCAATGATATGATGAATTATCTCGAATTCCACTTACTTGGTCCACCAGGAGACGAAGACGAGGGTTATTAGACTGAGCAACATGGCCATTGTGCGGAAGGGGAACATCTGCTCCTGCGTGTCCTCATCGTAGCCGGGATATTTGATGAGGGCGGGTAGTCCTAGTATGGCCTCGCCACCCGACAGCCGAATTAGCAGTGCCACAATGTAGGCGGCCAGGCTGCCGTACGTGTTGCAGTGCTTCTTGAAGTGCACCACCATCAGAAGCTGGGGGAACAGGATGACGTAGACCAGATCCGAGCACATGGACCTACCAGGAGCCGAGCAGGGAACACAAACGGGAGGAGGGAGAATAGGAAACTCAAGTAGATGAGATGCCAATCAGGCTGAATTATGTACAATGGGACATACCACAAGCCGTATATGGAGGGAATTGTGAGGGCCATAATGGTGGCCAGAATGCCAACCACAATGATGGACACGCGCATTACCCAAATGATTTCCATCTCGGAAGCCTTCTGACGGAAAATCAATCGGTAAACGTTGCGTGCAAACATCGAGGCGGCCGACAGCACGGACGAGTCGGCGGATGACATGACAGCGGCGGAGACGGCGCCCAGCCCGAAGAAGGACACAAAGTCGGGTGTCAGATACTGCAGCACCATGGGCAATATCATGCTCGTCTCATCCACAGTCAGGGGATAGGGACCCTTGTAATCCGTTTCGTTCCAAGCTGTGGGAGGTAGGGAATCGTCAGTCAGTGTCAAGTTCTAATCACACTAAAAACTCACGTGTGGCCTTGGCTATGGCACCAATCAGGACAGGCGGAATGGCCATCAGAATGCAACCGGCAGCAGCCACGTAGGACAGGAGCTGAGCCCGTCCAGCCGTCTTGCTGGAGAGCACACGCTGGAAGTACACCTGCCAGGGAATGCCCCCGAAGACCAGTAGCAACCCGTAGTCTATATACAACCAGTGTTTTTTTGGCTCCACGTGCCCTATCCAGTCCACCTGAAGGTCGCTGAGGCTGCCCACATGCTCGTTGGTCCAGGCGAAGGGGATGCACATCCAGAGGCCGATGAAAATGCAGAACAACTGTATCACATCCGTGTAGGCCACGGAATACAGGCCGCCGAAGAGTGTGTAGAAAATGGCAATGCAGGAGGACAGAATGACCGAAGTGCGATGATCCATGTCAATGATCACCGACAAAGTGGCGCCCAAGGCGGCCAGTATGCCAGCAGCCCAGAACACCTCACCGCAGAGGGCGGGCAAGAAGAGCAGGCCACCCATGCGCTCCCCGAACGAGTCCTGGAGAGGATCCAGCATGGTGATGTAGCCCTGCTTGCGCATGGGATTGGCAAAGAAGATGCCACCTATGGATGGAAGCGGGTAAAAAGCAGCATTAGCAAACACCTCAAGGGAACTTCGATGATGGGAAAGTGGGAAAATGGGAATGCTCACCGAAAACCAAGCTGAGAGCATAGCCAAAGGGCGCCTGGCACCAGACCAGACCCGATGTGTAGATGGCCTCGGCCGTGCCATTGATATAGCCGCCACCCACCCAGGTGGCGGTCATGGTGAAGATGCCAACGAACAGGCCAATGGAGCGTCCAGCCAGCATCACCTCCTCCTCGGAATCGTTGCCCGCCTGCTTTTTGCGACCGGCCCAAATGCCCACCACCAGGATGAGAGCGTAGAAGAGCACAATGCTCACGACGCCCGCAACATTAATCATCCTTGGTTATCGAGCGAGTCCTTGGCTTGGATATGGAAATAAAATCCGGCTTCTCTACTGCCACTGGTTGTGGAAATTAATGACCTCCAAATGGAGTCGACCTTTAGCTGCAATGCGATACGCGTTCGCGGAGGATGGCGGGAGAGAGCAGAAAAGTAATGTTCATGAGCATAATTTTGAATACTGTTGCATGCCTCGGGGCGGGGGGCAGGTGTCCGCCCGCTTTTCAATTAGCTGGCCCCAGCACGCAGCATTAAATATTAAGCCATTGCATTGGCCATGGCCATCGGTGGTATGGTGGCGACCTTTGTTTACAAGGATAGTCAGGGTCTCCGTAATAGGACCCCCGCATACTCCTACTATGGCAGGGCTGTGTCCTTGCGCTAATGGCGCGCAATTAACTTGCAGTTGCAGTGTTCCTGCCCCTGCTTCGATATTATTTATAGAGGGTGGGGGGAGGCGCACGCACTAGAGGTGGATACGTAACCGACAGTGATACCCGTAGGTCCCAATTAGCCTAAATCATTGCCATAAAACTACGGCGCGCTGACGAATGGAGAGTCAAGGCAAGTACGTCATAGACGGGGAGCATTCGGAACCCAGCACCACCCCCCAAGTCGTGGGGTTCATTCACAAAAATTAACAAAGCACTGGGCGCAGAGCGCGGCACTTGGAAACCGCCCGAGACGGACAGAGGGTGAGAGAGGGAAACCCCCCCTGGGAACGACGACACGACGCGACACGTGCCCTCTGCGCATGTCCCAGCGCATTTGTGGGCAATCGACTCACCTTTGCTGTGTTATATGTACGTACGACAAGTTCAAAAGCAGACGCCACTTTGTGCGCCCAGCGTGGCCGAAAGATTCTGAAGCTCTGAAGCGTCGTCTGGAGCGCGCGCCAATCAAATGCGCCTCAACTTATGCAACATTTCCTGCACGAACGAGTGCGCGGTTTGGAGTCCTCTCTGGAGTCCTCCGTCTTTGTCTAAGCAGATCACAGATCACAAGAGTCTACGTCTACACTAATTAGATAGGAATCAACGTGAAGTCTGGCCAGGAATACGTTTAGGAATCGCACACCACAGAGACACACACACACACACGCTTTATGTGAGGCAGCAGTCGCCCCAACGGAGGGACGTCTTCTGAGACGGACTGTTACGAGTCTTAAAGTGTAACCCGCACATGTGCTCCGGCTGTTGCGAATCCACGTGATGGCCGCATTAAAACACTGCTCCTATTTCGGGCTCTACACCTGAGAAGTTATATAAATAATTCCGTTTGAATGCGCGCACAAACTATGCTACACACGGGACCCAAGATATGTGGGAGCGGTGCCGTGAAGGACTGGCCTGTGGTCGGACTCGATTTCCCATACAAATTGAACTTCAAGGTGGGCGAAACCGGATCGATGAGAGCTAATTAATCTTGTGCCTGCGCTAAATCAATTCGGTTTTGATAAAGGTTCGAAAAGTACATAGCTCCGGCTATTGTCTATGGCTATGGGCCTGAGAAACTGAAAAGGTATTTCACGCTCAGCCGTTCCTCCGTGCTGACGGTTAGAGTGACAAAATTATAACTGAATTGGAAGTTCAAGTACTGGAGTCTCGGCCACGACGATGGCCCGAGGCCCGCGTTTGTCGTCGGGGCCCCGAATGTCGGGTTCATTTTGTGTATGTGCGCAGGAATTTTCATTGGATTCTTTGGGTGAACATTTTCGTGGAAACCACCACTTGACTGAAAGCCGTCAGGGGTAGCAGTAGTACCTTATCAGCGCCAGCAAAGGGGAACATCCCCAGCAGTGGAAGTGTGTTGAAAAGCTCCCAAGGTTTGGTGGAGTTGGAAGAGTGTGCTGCCCCGCGCGTGGGAGTATTATGTAGATGATTAAAGCCATCGCTCTGTTTAGTTGCCAATTGGCATTTCCAGACAGGGTCACAACATTTATATCAATAAGCTGTTAAACATTACAATACCTACGAGTACTCTAAAAGAATGCTTACATAGACAATGTACTTAATTCTAGACGCTACTGAAACTTTTTAGTAGCCGAATTTCTCATTCAAATGTGTGATGCCGTCGCCACTTTGATTGGTCGGTGGCACCCACTTGGCGTACTTTTCGGTATCCTCATGCTCGACCAGCTCATTCATGTCCATGTCTACGTCCTGACGCTGCTTGTTGTTGCGCTGTCGCGGTGCACGTTGGCGTCGCTTCTTCTGTGCCGCTGCATCGTCTGGACTTTCCTCCTGAGTAGTGGCTGTTAGAGTACTAATGTCATCAATCGCTTCTGTCAGTGGAAAAGCCAGGAAAAGTTCCGTAGGAAAAGTGGCAACTTCGGATAGAACTGATGTTGACAAAAAGTTGTATTCTTGTTGTACGACTGCCTCCTCAGAGGTTGTTGGCTTTGGCGCTGCTTGTGGCGCTGCCACTGCCGCTTCGGCGGTTGGCTTGCTTTCCGGTAGATTCTCATTTTGTAAAGTCGATGGCTTTGCAACAGTTTCCATTTCCTTCGCCAGTTTAGCTTGCTTTCCCTTCACCTCTTCCTCCTCGATTTCCTCTTCATCCGGGGCAAATGCATTCGATTGCACCGTAGCCCGTGAGCTGGGCAAAGCTGTGACCACTTTGAATTTGCTAAACTGATTCCGCTTGCCAATCATGGGCAGCTGCTTTTTAGCGCCGTTGTTGCCTTCCTGTGACGCCGATGTGATGGTGGCTGTTGCACTGCTTGTAGTGTAGGGCAAGCATGCTGGCTTTGCTATTTGGATGAGGCGTTGCACCTTCTGTTGCTCCCCTTTGATGCGTTGCAGCTCCAGCTAGAGGGAAGAGAGAGAGGGTCAGTCAAGCAAACATCAACTGTAATTTCTTTTTACTAACCCGAAGCTTTTTGATCTCCGTTTTGTCCACATGCCATATATCCACGCTGAGACTGTTCATAAAATTGTCTAGATCGTAGCTGGCACTTAGTTGCTTGGTGGCCTCTTCCTTGGCTCGTTTTTCCTTCAGCTGGTAAGTGGCGATCTCGAACTCCACCTTGCCCAACTCTGACAGGAGATCTGTTTGCTGTTTTAGCTGTCAAAGAAAGGCAACAGAGCTAAGTATATTGTCTTTAGAATTATCTTCGTTTGACTTACCAAATCTTCATATGTGAGGGGGCCATTGGAGCCTGCGGTTGCCTTGCGCTGCTTCTTACGGGCGACATCCCCAGTGCGATCCCAGAACTCATCCTCGTCATCAGAGTCTCCGGCCTTCAAAATCTTGCGCTTTTGTGCCTCTTGGTTGGCCTGTCGCAGCACGCCATGTTTGTCCAGAGTGCGACATGCCTCCAGGGCGCACTGCACCACGCAATCCTTCTTGCGTCCTTTGTGGTTGACTTCTATCATAATCGGCCTGCCATTGAAATCGTCCAGGGGCAGCTCCACTCGACAGACAAACGATCCCTGCGATAACTCGTCGCACTTGTACTCCAGATTTAGACCCTCGCGCTCAAAGAATCCTCGCAGTGTCTTCTTGGGATCGTCGAAGAAGAGGTCATCGTTGTTGAAGCTGGCAAATGGGTTATGTGTGAGATCGGTTTCCTCGTCGGCATCCTCTCCCATTCCCCAGCTGACGCCGTCGTTCCGTTCGCGCTCCTGCTCCTCCACAATTTTGCGCTGTTTCTCGGCCGCAGCGGCAGCCACCTCCCGTTCACGCTTTTCTCGCAGCTCGCTAATCGACAATTCCGACTCTGGCTCCGCATCCGCATTGGGTCCTTGCAGTATGTAGATACGCGAGCTGCCGCCCAGTTTGAGCATGTGTCCCACACGCATACGTATGTATACCTTGGACGGCACGCGCTGTTTGTTGAGGTATGTGCCATGGGTGCTGTCGAGGTCATAGATGTACCAACCCTCGGGCCTGTCGTTCTTCGCTGGCTTTTCGGAATGATGCTCCTCGTCCTCGTAGTGGTGGTCGTGGGAAGGCTTCGGTTTGTACTGTAGCACGGCGTGGAAGCGTGAAATTGTGGGATGCGCGGCGGACACATCATTCTCGGGCAGCCGCCCAAATGTCCAAATAGCCTGTTGCTGCAACTGCCTCACCTCGTCAATGATCTGGCCCGACTTGAGCACCTCAAATTTGTAAGTTTGGTCGGCCGGTGGAGGTGCAGACCATCGGGGCACCTTGTAGGGACAAATTGCTGGTATTATATTTCTTGAATTGGCCGGCTCCTCGGTGGTTTCGATCTGCAGCCATAGTGGATTCTCTACCACAGTGGGTTTGTATTTCGGCAACGGAGCGGGCACCTTAAACTCGTCCATTTTTGCAAATAATGCAAAATATGGTATACTTTGGGAGGTAAACAACTACCTGGATTTTCTTCTGCACAGCTGATTTCTGTTGCACCTACACTTCATTCCAATGCAGAGCATCGATATATAGTTTCTGGTATTCGATGTTTTATTTGTACAAAACTTCCACCACTACGACGAAGCCGCCGAGGACTACTAAATTTGATTTCTACCTGAAATAACCTTCCATAATGTTGATAGGCTATTATTCGGCTGCAAGGGCCCATGCATGATAAAACGAATGCATCTCAATAACCAAATATTATACTTTTTCGATGTAATCGAGTCACTGAATTTGAATTTCTTGCACCTCTGCTGCAATCGATATTTATCTCACCACAAATTTGCTATATTTGGCATTTTACAACACCGTCGCAATTGAACCGTCGCGGTGTTTTTTTTAAATTTTTTTGATTGTTTATTTATTTATTTATTAGCTAAATAATTTGAATAATAATAGTATAATTATTTATGAAAGTAAGGGTCAACTTTTAATGGCGTTCTCGCAATCACTGGACATCGACGAGAGCGCCTTGCGGGAGCTAGATCATTTGGTTGTTGCGCCGCCAGCAGAAACAGCAGCCAAGGAGCCGAAATGCAACGCCAGCCGGGAAAATTATTCCGAGTATTTTCAGGACGAATTTTCGTTCGTGATCAATCAGGAAGAAAGGAAGCAGGGGGATCCGGAAAATGCCGACATCTCGTCTGTTTTCGAAGCGCAGGTGTGCACAGAAGATGTCTGCTCAGAGAGGAATGAAGAAGCTGAGGAGCCGCCCAATCTAGATGAGAGCAGCTTCCTCTGTCCCGTAAGGGATGAGGAGTCCTTCAAACAATTGGAGGTGGATCTCTTGCGTAGTCGTACGACGGCCAAGGGATCCCCGGACATGTCACGCACTCCAAAGTCCAGGGAAACTACAATGATAACCCAGAATCTTAGCAAAATGTCGCCGAACCAGCTTCTGGTATCGCAGACCCCACCAAACGCGAGTATCTGCCAGGCAGTGAATGTACCGCCCAATGTACCAGTCGACGTGGAAGCACTCAAGTCGCTCTCAGCCTGGAATCTTCCGCACAGTATCCTGGCCGAGTACAAGAGGAAGGGCGTTGTCCAAATGTTCGACTGGCAGGCCGAGTGCCTCAGCAAGCCTCGCGTTGTCTTTGAGCATTGCAATCTGGTCTATTCGGCGCCCACATCGGCAGGCAAGACGCTTGTTAGTGAAATACTTCTCCTGAAATCGGTCCTGGAGCGGGGCAAGAAGGTTCTCGTCATACTGCCCTTCATCTCGGTGGTGCGCGAGAAGACATTCTACCTGCAGGATCTTCTGACGCCCGCGGGCCATAGGGTGGAAGGCTTCTTTGGGGGCTACACACCACCCGGTGGCTTCGACAGCATAGACGTCGCGATTTGCACGATAGAAAAGGCCAATTCCATAGTCAACAAGCTTATGGAGCAGGGAAAGCTGGATGTAATCGGCACTGTGGTGGTCGATGAGGTACATCTCATATCGGAAAAGGGTCGCGGCTACATACTGGAGCTCTTGCTGGCCAAGATTCTGTACATGTCCCGCAAGAATGCCCTCCAGATCCAAGTGATCACGATGTCGGCTACCCTGGCGAATGTGGAACTCCTGCGCCGTTGGCTGGATGCCGAGCTGTACATCACAAACTATCGCCCAGTGGCCCTGCAGGAGATGATCAAAGTGGGCACCAAAATCTATGATCATCAGCTGGAATTTCAGCGCGATATCGCCCAGCAGTCAGAGGTGCCATGCTTGACCAACGATTCGGATCATGTGGCCCAGCTGTGCATCGAGACCCTGCTCGAGGGCTGTTCCGTCATTGTATTTTGCCCATCACGAGACTGGTGCGAGAGCCTTGCGGTGCAGCTTGCCATAGCCATTCATGGTCTCATCAAATCGGGCACAGAACTGAGTCGACGCCTTCGGTCTAATCTCAATCCAGAGGCCATTGAAGATGTGAAGCAGCAGCTGCGGGATATACCCACAGGTTGGTTTTTTTTCGTTTGTCTTTGTATATGGAGAACATGTACTAATCTTCTGTTTCCAGGACTCGATAGTACCATGTCCAAGGCCGTTACCTATGCCTGCGCGTTCCACCATGCCGGGCTTACCACAGAAGAGCGCGACATTGTCGAGGCCTGCTTCAAGGCTGGAGCCCTGAAGGTTCTCGTGGCCACAAGCACTCTTAGTTCGGGGGTCAATCTGCCGGCGCGTCGCGTCATCATACGGTCCCCCCTCTTTGGAAAGAACCAGATGAGTTCCCTCACATATCGCCAGATGATCGGCAGAGCTGGACGCACGGGAAAGGATACGCTGGGCGAGTCCATACTGATTTGCACGGAATCCAATCAAAGGGTGGGTCGTGATCTTGTCCAGGCGCAGCTACAGCCCATTTCTTCTTGCCTGGAAATGGATGAAAGTGTATGTATCGATTTTTCTGACAGAGCAACCACGAAAATTCACGAATTTCCCATTGCAGACGCATCTAAAACGAGCGCTCCTGGAAGTGATTTCTTCTGGTGTGGCCAGCACGAGGCAGGAAATCGATAGCTTCGTCAACTGCACTCTACTGAGTGCTGAGAAGGCCATGGCCAAGCTGTCCGAAGAGCAGCAGGTGCAGGGTGGCGAGGACTGCAGCTCGCATTTCATCGACGATGTCCTGGACTTTCTCATTGACTACGAGTTCATTCGCCATCAAGTGGACGAGGAGGCGGGAACAGCGAACTATGTGGGCACCCACCTAGGAGCCGCCTGCTTAGCATCTTCCATGCCGCCCGGCGATGGCCTCATTCTTTTCGCAGAGCTGCAGAAAGCGCGCCGCACCTTTGTGCTGGACACAGACCTGCATGCTGTGTACCTAGTGACGCCCTATTCAGTGTGCTACCAGCTGCAGGATCTGGACTGGCTGCTCTACCTCGACATGTGGGAGAAGCTCAGCCCAGCCATGAAGAGAGTGGGGGAGCTGGTGGGCGTCAAGGAGGCCTTCCTAATAAGGGCCATGCGGGGCCAAAGCAAGCTCGACTACAAGCAGATGCAGATACACAAGCGGTGGGCCAGCTAGATATTCGTTTCGGAGAGCCAATTAACTAACCATATTCAATATTCATGCAGCTTCTACACGGCTCTGGCCCTGAAAGAGCTGATCAACGAGACACCCATTAATGTGGTGGCCCACAAGTTCAAGTGCAATCGCGGCGTACTGCAGGGACTGCAGCAAATTTCTTCAACCTTTGCTGGCATTGTGACGGCCTTTTGCAAATCGCTGAAGTGGTCCACCATCGCCCTGATTGTGGAACAGTTCAAGGACAGACTGTTCTTCGGCATACATATTGATCTGATCGATCTTATGCAGCTGCCAGACCTGTCACAGAAGCGAGCCCGTGCCATCTATGATGCTGGCTTCACCACCGTGGTGGAATTGGCGGGTGCCGATGCCCTGGTCCTCGAGAAAGTCCTCTACAACTCTCTCAGCTTTGACTCGGCCAAGCAGCACGACCACGAAAATGCCCACGAGGCAGCCAAGCGTAATATGGTTAGGAATATCTTCATTACCGGCAAGGCAGGCATGACCGTGGCTGAGGCTGCCAAGTTGCTGATTGATCAGGCGCAAAAATATATGCAGCATAAGATCGGTGTGGACAGCATTAAGTGGAACCAAAATCAAATAGAGAGCGGAGAACTGCCCAAGTCAGCCGATAGCGGCATGAATGTCGAGTTGCACATGTCATTGGAGGATGAGCAATCGCAGCAAATGCGCCAATCAAAACGGAAGTCGACAGATAAAGAAGGGACTATAACGCCACCGAAAATCACGAAGATCGATACCACGAGAGACTTTAATGCTGTTAAAAACATACCACAAAAACCGGCAGGCAATTACGCGAAAAAGACAAATAATCCATCAGGAAATACTTTGAAGAGCACAGATCACATTAAGGAAAGGGCACAGAGAGTACCAGTTGCTTCCCATTGGCTTACTCCAAAGAATACACAAAAAACGAATAATATTTCCAAGGGAGTACCCACTGAGAACACCGTTCAAAAAAAAGAAAATCATCAAGTGATGATGCGTCAGCAAAGGGCCGTGGATTTACCAACCTCTACTCAAAAAAATACACAAATATCTAACAATACCTCAAAGGAAGTGAGTCCTTCAGTAATGAAAGAAAACTTGAATCGTGTACCCCCCAAAAAAGTGCAAAATGCGGAAAAGTCAGACGAAAAAACCCCGTGTCCAAGTAAGATATCGGAGCACCCCCTGCAAAAGGTAGAACATCGATCAGTGAATGCGCGGATGATGACACGTCGGAGTACAGTACATCACATTGAGCAAAAAGCAGTAGATCTACCAGTCGCCTCAAATTTGAAAAACAACATCTCAAAGGGGGATGAGCGACTGAAAGAAATACTGTCAGACCAGAACCCCCTGCAAAAGATAGACAATACGCCGATGATAACACGACGGAAGACAGTAGATCACACTGACGAAAAGGAGAATAGAATTTCTTCTCCCGGGTTTGATGAGGAAAAGCCCAGCACAAGCAGGGCCGTTCGCGAAGAGCTACAGAAGAAACAAATTGCGGAGAACCGTCGGATTGCAGTTATGAAGTTAAACCAGAGACGAGGCCAATTGGAGACTGTGCACACAAAGGATGCATCTGCAGAAACGTCCGCTGTGGCTGGGAAGACTCAAACTCCTCGAAGCAGAAGTAATCCACAAGTAAATGGGATTTATGCTACTCAAATGGAGTCTGAGCGAAAGCCCTCTGCAAAAGTACCCATAGAGCAGGATATCTTTAGTGGCGATGATTCGTTTCTGCTGAGCACAGGGGTGACTGCTGCTCTAACCGCCGCTGAGAGTAAACAAACTGTTCCTACGTCGAACTCGGATGCGGATGAGATACCCAGCTCGCAACCGAGGGAGGAGGAAGGGATGAATAACCATCCGACGACACCGCATACCTCCAGGCTCATGAGTATCTACCAGATTCTGCGCTCGCAGCGCCTGCAAAGCCCAAGATCATCGCTAAGTTCCACTGGGACCGCATCCTGTTCAGCAAGGAGCACGCAGAGCTCTGGATCATTGTTCACGCCCTGCGAAACTGCGAAAGACTCGGCATCGAAGAACACACCAAATGGGGCCTCCTGTGCGGAACTCGCCGAAATGTCCAATGCTGCTGGGATGGACTCGAATGAAGCCTCTTCTATTAAACTGTCCGATATGTCCGCGGAAAACTCTCTGATGAAGCATCCCTTTCAGCTGAACTCTTCGCACGTCATGAGCTTCTCCACGACGGATGACACGGCGCTCAGCTTCGACAGAATTGAAATAATCGACATGTGCGCCAATCGACAGTTGTTTCAAATGGCTCTCAAGGAACTACTGGCTGCCTCACGTTGTGGATTCAGTGTAGGCCTTGAATCGCAGGCGGGAAAGGCGAAGCCTTTGATCGGAGCCAACCTGCTGATCAACCAGTTGGCTGCGGCGGAGCAGCGTGAATCAGTTGCCGGCAAACAGGCCCTCTTCCAGGTCGATGATAGCAGCTTCATAGCAGGCTTGTCCTTTTGCCTGGCCGACAATGTTGTCTATTATATGTGCATGCAGGAGGAGGAGGGCCAGCAAGTCCCCACCAGGCTCAAGGTGCAGGAGCTGTGCAAGTTGATGGATCGCCCAGAACTCACCCTCCTAGTGCACGATGCGAAGGAACAGGTGAAAGCGCTGCTTCATGGCGTCCCTCAGTTGCAAAACATCGGCATTAAGGTAGAGGATCCCAAGGTGGGCCACTGGCTGTTGGAGCCGGACAAGACAGTCTCCTTTAAAAATATGGTAACTGCCGGCAACACAAGATTCGCGTCCGCCCATTAATATTTCTGATTCTAGTGCCAACAGTTCGCTCCCGAGTGCACAGCGCTAGCCAATCTCTGCGGCAGCGGACGCGGATACAGCAGCCATGGGCTTGACAGCTCCAGCGCCATCCTGCCCAAATTGCGTGCCTCTATAGAGGCCTGTGTTACAGTGCACATACTCAAAGGACAGATCGAGAATCTAGAGAGAATTGGTCAGCTGCTAAAGATCTTCAGAGGCGAGTGGAATGTTCAACATGTTGTATTTATTGTCTTATTTATTTTTGATTTGTTGTTTTACAGAGGTGGAAATGCCTATTCAAATCGTACTCTGCAGAATGGAGTGCGTCGGCTTTCCGGCCAAGCACCAACGGATGGGTAGGCTCATAAAGCACATGCTGGACACCTTGAATAAGGTGGAGATCAAGATCTATAAAATGCATGGCTCGAAGTTCAATCTGGGCTCCACGCAGGCCGTTGCCAATGTGCTGGGACTTCACAGGAAGCCACATGGTCGCGTGAGCACATCGCGTCAAGTGCTGGAGAAACTGGGCTCGCCGATATCCGAGCTAATACTGAACCATCGAAAGCTGAACATGCAAATAGTCAAGGGTATGCAGCCACTGATTAGATGCTGCAAAGCGAATAGGATCCATGGCCACAGCATAACGCACACGGCCACAGGACGAATATCCATGAGTGAGCCCAATCTGCAGAATGTGGCCAAGGATTTTGACATTCGAATGGGACCGGATTCGGTTCGTATTTCCTGTCGATCAGTATTCAAGTCCATGGACGAGAAGCGCTGTCTGCTATCGGCGGACTTCTGTCAGCTGGAGATGCGCATATTGGCGCATTTGTCGCAGGACAAGGCCCTGGTGTCTGTGATGAATTCCCCGCAGGACCTGTTTACGGCCATTGCTGCCCACTGGAACCACATACCCGAGGCGGAAGTAACCGAACAAATGCGCAGTGGCACCAAACAGATTTGCTATGGAATTGTATATGGCATGGGCATGCGGAGCTTGGGCGATGCTCTTCAATGCACAGAATCGGAGGCGCAATTAATATGTGAACAGTTCCACCAGTCCTATCCAGGCATCAGAGCATATACGGAAAAAGTCTTGAAGTTTGCCAGAAAACTGGGCTACGTGGAGACCATAACGGGTCGGAGGCGCTATCTAGACCACATCAATAGTGGCGAACAAAATCTAATAAGTAATAGGGCCCTTGATTCCATTGATTGAGTGCAGTTAAATTGTAACAATTGATTTTTCTGTTCACCCCCATCTAGAGCAAGCCGAACGTCAGGCCGTAAATACAACCATCCAAGGCTCTGCAGCCGACATTGCCAAAAGAGCAATTTTGGATATGGATAAGAACATCGGTCGGTATTGGAAGAAGCTCGGTGTCGAGGAGAATTCCATCCAATTGGTTCTCCACATCCACGATGAGCTGGTCTATGAGGTACCCGAAGCCAAGGCCAAGAGGATTGCCAAATTCTTGGGTCTGACCATGGAGAGCATTGGCAAAGGGAAGCTGACCGTGCCGCTGAAGGTAAAGATTAAAATGGGTGAGAGTTGGGGCGAAATGCATGAACTTCGCGTATAGCTGCTGAATACGGTAATAAAATGGTTGTGATTATTTATTTTTACAATTTGTAAATAATTTTATATTTTCCGTTGTTATTGACCACCCTCCTTATCCTGCCATTCCGTCCAGGATCCGGCATACGCTTTGGCACTGCAATTATTTTAGAACAATTTATTTTAAGATTGTACATACATGCTGAAACTTACTTGGAAAAGCCCAGGGTGCGGGCCAAATTGGTAGCCCGAGCAGCGCGTCCACCTGCTTTGCATGAAAAGATTATGACCGCATCAACCGACGGTTTCTTGCGGCCGTAGGTCTTTGTGAAAGCATCATCTGGCAAATTCAAGGCCCTCTCCAGCTCGGGCACTATGAATCAAACAAAGGTGTGTCCATTATAGTAAGTCCCCTACTAATCTTTGGACTAGCTACTCACGAGGTATATTAATGCTGCTCGGCAAGACACCTGTCTCCTCCAACTCGGACTTGTTGCGCACATCAAACAGATACTTATCCGGATGATTTGGGGCATCCTTTACTTCCTCGTAGGTGGCCATAACAGATCAGATAATTGTATGAACGAAATTTAAAATCAAACCCAAAATGCAAGCTTATCTTGTCAAAGGTTCGCCGATTAATTTCAAGCTATAACTATCGATGAAAAACAAATGCAGTCGTTTTCAGTGGGACTTTATTTGATATAAAAAAATGCACAAACACAAGTACTATATGTAGTATATACTATTTATACCCATATGAACGCCGCCTCCTGGGCACGGTGACTCGATGCCATTTATTTTCCATTTTTCACTGAATAAAACTATTGAAAAACCATCCTTGCAAACAATCGGGGAAATATAACTGGCTGGGGTTTTTTGAGTTCTTACTAAAGAATCAAGGATATTTTTTCCAATTACAGGAATCTATGGAACGGCCAAATCGGTACACAATCAACAGAGAAAACATTATATATGTGACTGGACTTCATCTGATCAAGAATCACAGGAAACACGCCAGACGAACGCCAGAGCCGAAGACCCTGGGATCTAGTCCTGAAAGTTCGTTTGCGATACGTTCGGTGGCACATCTATATACTGTATGGTTAATTATTCAAATCAAGACTAATAGAAGACTTATGCTGAGCATGATTGTTTTATTTAGAGTATGGTTATTCGACAATCATATATATTCGCCTTTTCTTAATGAGAAACTCGCAGGCTTAGCCTGGTAAAAACAAGGCCATAAGTTCTTCAGGATCCACACTGTCTAACTGCTTAAAATTCATTAGCTTGTTGTACACAAAGGTCAAGCGATCGGCATTGTGAAAGACAGAAATTAATATTTTAAGAGCCTGGAAATATTAAAATGTTGAGGCAGGAAAGAAAAATACATTTCATGATCACGAAAACTCACCTCAAAAGTCAGACCGATAACACAGCTATTCGAAAACAAAGTATTAAAAGCCATATATGTAGCACCGTAGACCTCGACTTCGCCAACATCTAAATGTCCCAGTAATTTGATCACTTTAGCTGTATGCTTCGTGGCCCCCTCTACAATGTCCTCGTCAGTCGCCCCAAAGAGAAATGGACACTCTGGGTCGACCATATAGATGTTAGAATCATCCAAAAATGTAAAGCCGAGTGTAAATAGGAAATGAAGGGCCTGACTATTTATGCCAGATGGATTTGCTTTAATTTTAAACCTTGATATGCTCATGGATTGTTCATCAGTGACACTGAGGGTGTACGTCTTGCCTGTCTCCGAATTGAACTCACCAATACTGGCAATAGCTCTTTTCAAGTCAATATTAAACAAAGATTGTATCAATTGGGGAATACAAAATCCATTTTTTACAGCTGGATGGCGTATATTTGCTTTCAGCGAGTACAGGGTTTCCCCGGTTTGGTATATGAATGTACCATTCGGAGTAATATTGAATGGCATTTTCAGACGAAGCAAAACCTGATGACCAGGGCGATTGATGCCTAAGAAAAGTGTTAAAACGTACACTATGCAGATACGGATGTGATCGAAAAGAATGAAAAGCTTACATGTTTCCTTCAAGTTCATTAGGGACCCTTGGAAAACAGAGTTTATACCGTGGAATGCTTGTGATATTTTCTGCACAATCTCCTCCACATCCTGGAAATTCAATTCCTTGCGACCTGGTACTTTTTCTATTAATTGTTCAAAAGCTTCCTTGAATTTAAGCAACATATTGAAAATTTTTTCGTTTTTCTTTGGGGATTTACAAATTAGGATTTGGCTTTTGACTGATAGTTTTCATCAAGACGAGCTGCCAGATCAGGTAACAATCGTAATATTAAATTTATCTTTTTGAAAAAATATCGATTTAAAATATATTAATTCTGCTTGTTTTTTTATTTATGACATTAGAGACGAGAGGCAAAAACAAAATTAGTGTTAGGCTAGGCTAAATTGCATCGATGATTTCTGCTCGCAGCTCAACTGAAAAGCCAAGCGCTATCTAGCTCGCTCTCACTACATGCTACATTATATTTCTCTCGCTCACACTGCCTGTTTCCCCATAACGTTTTTATATCTAGTCTAACTTTAAGTTTAGTCGAATAACACCACAACAAAAATCATGGAATACTCGTATTAGTGCTTTTAATGATTTTTTAAAAATTGTTGACTAGAAATGTTTTTTTTTTTTTTTTTATAGCATGTAAGATGTCTAATATTCTGTTATTTTATTTATTTAACATAAAATATTATTTACCATTGAACCACCAACCGAACTAGTTTTTCTGGAGTGGAACTGCCACATACCCGGTAGTCAAGGAGTATAGGGGTATATAAAATTTGTGTAGATGCATGTAACAGCCAAGAGAAATCGTTTCGGACCCCATAAAATATGCATATATAAAGCATGGCCTGGCATCAATAAAAGCTACTGCAACATTTTATCCCGCCTCATTTCGCTCCCAGAAATAGGGAAAATTCTCTGGCATTTATCATTTTGAAGATGCAAGAAAAACAAAACGCAGAACCCTAAGCTATTATCTTCTCAATTTGATCCGATCTAAGCATTACGGAGAATTGTTTTACTGCATAGGAACATTTTTGGGAATCAGGGATGCAATAACTTAAGAACGAGCATATTAAAAATTATTCATTTTATTTAAGTTTTTTACAATTTATCAATCAGTTTTAATTTAACATTTAATATAATTCAAGAATTTACTAAATTAAATAAATTTAGTTTGCTAAATAATTTAATTTAATAAACAAATATTTAAATTGCACAACATTCTTCATTCCTATTGCAGAGGAGATGAGTGGGGGAGCATTTCCAAAGCACAAATCAGATTGCAAATAATTGGCCCACATTCTAGAATTGTATATTTCTATATAAAATATTTTCATTGTATATCAAAAGTGGTTCAGTTGCAAAATTAGAAAACCTTCCAAGCTGCTGCACAATCGACATTTAACCTAAATATTGATTACACGGTAACTTCATGCGTTTTTATTGGCATTGAACAATTCTATTCCTCACTTCATTATATTTTCCTTAAGTCAACAACGACATGGTGTTGGGGGTATATTCACACAGTTCTCTTGTATAATTCTACTAGATCGTATTGATGCGATCCGATCCTTTCGTTACATTGCATTACAGTCGATTGTTCAAAAATATGCATGTGATGTAGGCATTGCTTAAATTCTGTGAATCTATGATAGATATTTTTTTATTTTTTTTTCTTTTGCAATGCTTGCATTGACATTTGTTTGTTTGTGTGTGTGTGTGTGTGTTTTAATACCCAGCAGTTGACGCAGTTGTATGCGAGTACGATTACGAGTACGAGTATAGTACATATAAAAAGGCAGAAATCGAACAGAGTGCATGCATCTTGGGAGTTGGCCGGCTGGCCGCCGTGTTCGATTGATGTGTGTGTGTACGGTATGTGTGTTTTATATTACAGGGTATGTATTTAGGCATAACGCTTCGACGGTGGTACTAAGTGTTCCGGCAATACTGTGGGTAGCTCACAGCCTTCCAGCTTGACATTGATTAAGTGCAAAGCCAGCGCAAATTCCTCAGAGTCCAGGAAGCCATCCCCATCGACATCGGACAGTTTCCAGATTTTACTAAGCACCGAGTTGGGTAGTTTCGATTTGATAAGCTCCTGCTTGGCAGCTGTAATTGAAGAAAGGACCCAATTAGAAAACATCCGAAAGGATTGGCACTCGAGTCTACTTACTTGCACCGGATATTTTGCCATCGACCGGATTAAGACCGTTGAAGATGGTGTCTGTGCGTGATTTCTCCTTGTTGCAAATCCATTCGTGTTCTCCGTAGCCAGCATCTATGCCCTCGCCCTTCATGTAGCCGAACGGTGAGACGTGGTCGTCGATGACACCCTCGAAGGCACCACCTGCAATCCAAAGAAAAGTTTATTTCAGCTCGGTCGTGTTCTATCCATGTCTGGGGAGGAGGGACTGGCTACATAAATTTGCACTAATTAAGCAAGTAGTCTAAGCTGATCGGTGCGTCGCCGTGCACGTACTCGTACATTCAATTTGAAGCAATTAAAACCTTCAGATCGTTTTGGCTTCAATTGAGGTCCGACTGACCGACTTAAGAACGTACTTTGCCTACCTACATTAACAGCAAACAATTGCCCCTGAATGCTGCATTCAGACGACCAATTGAGATTGCATGCGGTGCATGCGGCCAAGTGGCATTTCATTGCATTATTTGAAGTTGCCACTTTTGATCTGTTGCTCAATTTATTTGCGGCGTCTTGTTGTCAGACACTGGAATTGAGAAGGCTGCTGGCCCCACGATCTACAACTAGGTGTGTGCTTACATCCATGTCTGTCCCTGTCTCTGCCTCTGCCTCTGGATTTGCCTCTGGCACTGGCTCTTCTTTTGCCTTCTGCTCTGAACCTGCCTCAGGGTCTGGATTTGGCTCCTTCTCTGGTTCTGGTTCTGTCTCTGGCTCTGTCTCTGGCTCTGATTGTGGCTCGGCTGCTGGCTCGATCTCTTTATCGTTCTCGACATGGCCCACCCTACTAGTACAACTGCTGAACAACCGGTGCTGCTGCTGGCGCAGGTTCTGCAGCCAGCGATCAAAGCGATCCGCAAACAGTGCTCTCTGGGAGCTGGGGCTCAGGACATTATCGGGCTCGTCAGCCAGATCGAAATCCTCGTCTGAGTCCACTTTTTGGTATGCAAGAAAGAGAGAAAGAACGTTGACAGAGCGGGGAACGAACATTTTCAAAGGGTTCAATGGAAGATCTCCGCGTTGATCTCCCCAGTGCGACAGTGGGTGACAAAGCAGGGCGTATACAGTCGGCTCGGGACATGGAAAAATCAACTCAAAACTACAACAAATTAGTGTGCCAATGGCGAAAACGAAAAACGAACGAACGAACGAAAGCAAGCGAACAACTTATTTCTGCAAGATCGTGTCATGAGTGTGTGTGTATAAACTATTTAGCGACATATTGCTAAACATGTGATGCCCCCCCCTGCCATCATAAGCAGAGGTGTAAGCAGGTGTCGGGGAGAATGACTCAAATTAAAGACGAACCCCTTATCGTCATAGGAACATGATCAGTTTTGAATGTAATGAATGTGTGATTACTATTCTATGGGTGGACAGAAACTATCAGCAAACACTGTCGTTTGCCTCTTTATCGCTCTCTTTCTTGTTTGCTGTGTAATTGAAATACTTGTGCCCAAAAACAAAGCAACGGAAATGCACGGAAAATCGAACAATACATTAAATGAGAGAGAGAGAGAGAGCCAGAGATCCACACACACAACGAAGACATTTATTTAGAAATAAATTAGAGTTCATGCGTTCTTGACTTTGATTTCGTGCTGTTTGATCGTGATTCGTTTTATCAGGCATTCTTGGCTCCCTTTGGCAACGCGACGCCTTCGTCTCTGGGTGTAATAATACACAAGGAGTTCATTCACACTCTGCGAGTGAATGTTTATGTGAATCTGCATGTGAGTATGCGAGTGCTTGGGTGTGTGTGTGTGTGTGTGTGTGTGAGTGGGGAGCAACATTAAGTAATTTCGATGACAGAGAGGGCAGAAGGCAATCGATGAGAGAGCATGACACATGAACAGTTCACATTCAGTCAGAAATCAGAAATAATCATCCCATGACATCAGTTGATCATTTTTGGACTTTTTTTGGCATTCGCATAGATTCCAATGCACAAGGTCATGAGAAGCGCGCTAATAGTTGAATTAAATCGCCCCTCACCCACTCAAGTGGCCCCCAGACCCAGGCAAACAGAAAAGATCAGCCCCACACTGGCAGATCTCAGTTTCGCCACAGACAATGGCCATATTATTGTGGAATAACTCTCGGGTAAATGCTTTCTTCCTGCACTTAGTTGTAGTTCGTTTGCTATGCAAGCGCCTCCGCCCGAGCGTCTTTCTTTCTGTCGCTCTGCGCATTAGACAGAGGATGATCCACTTAATGCCACACGCCCCGAGTCAGCTTTCGGAGAGTGGCCAATTGATACGCGGCCTCAGGTTGCCAACGCCATCAAAAGTACATAAATACATATGTACATAGGCACGTACATATGTACATCTGGCACTAACCGGTTCGGCGTTCCAGGGAGCTGGAACTGGGAGCGGATCTGGGTGTGGGTCTCGATCTGGGGGTTTGTTTGAGCAGCTTGACGCACTGGGACTTAATGCAGCAAACAATCATTTCTATAAGACCATATCATCTCCTAAAAGGCAGGCTGTATTCCGCATTATAATAAGTACTATTCTTTTTTAATTGCAATGCCTTTTAAGCAATTATTTATTATCGTTTCTCCCTCCTATTTAGTTGCATATAAAAGTAAGCAACTCAGACAAAAGGTAGCCCAGCCATTTGTGGTTTTATTTTTGGGTATACACAAATTTCTGCCGTGCCAGTGTCCACTGTCTCATAAATATTACTTAATTTCATACGATTAGACCCGTATTTGCTTAACAGATAAACGGAAATTAGAGCAGACATGGCTACAAAAGTTTTTTCAGTTTTTTCAGTTTTTTCCGTTTTTTAAGGTGGCTAGAACCCGGCAGTAATGATAAGAGAACGAAACGATGATGGCATGCTGACTTGGCCTTACATTGATTTTTATCTAACAGAAGACTCTTTATACTGCTGGGTCTATATGTGTCTACCTTTGTAGGTATAACAGTGCCTGGCAACGCGATAAGGTTGGGGAAAACAAACCACTTTCCGACTGGCCTACTGGCCTCACTAACGCATTCATGGGGAGAACACGAACAGGTGCTCTCTAACCAGCTGTGGAAAGTGTAATTAGGCCTTGAACTCTACGCCTGAACTGTTTGTAACTGTTGGCTGGTGGCTGGTGGCTGGTGCCTGCCCCACACACTGCACACACACCAAAGTTCACAGGTCGAAAGTAAACCGGTCGCCAGCTCGCTTGCTTGCTTCAAATGGAATTACCTTTCAATAAAATATTTGATTGCTCATGTGTATAATAGAACTATAGCCGCCTCTTAAGTACGCAGGCCAAGGCGTCTGGTTTCTGATTAAAACATAGCTGCTCTTCGTCTCTTTCACCCGTTTAGTTGGTGTTTTTGCTGGGCGTTTTAGTTCGAATGGGGAATGGGAATGCGTGGTCATAGGCGTCATGGTTGCCTGGATGCGTCTGGCCGCTGGTGCTGCCATCAGATCTGATACAAACACTGGGGCGCTCTCTCAAGTGTAAAATATTTATCGTGCTCGAACTGTACGCCTAGTTTTCGGATGAGTCATGCACCGCCCGCCAGTCGGACTCCAGTTAGAACCGACAACAGCCTTGCGCTACCATCGATATTTTCCAATGCTTACATCATGTGGCAGCCAGTAGGTTGCTCTGTTATCAATGAAAGGAACAAGGGGGAAAGGAAATGACGAAAGCGGCGGCCTGTTTTGATAATTATTGGGCGAGTGCCACGCCCCATATGCACGCAGTACTCCTCGCCTAGTCTCAAGTCATCAACTAAATGCTTATCGCTTTGCATTATTTGAGCAAGATATGATGGGGAATACTTATACGTGTCTCTGTGCACTTTTTGCTTCCCTCCCCCCACCCCCCACCAACGCGGTGGCACTGGGGGGATGGAGGGTTTCGTTCTATTTAGTTTTGCACAGAGCAAAAAAAAAGTGCGTGAGTGTCACCTAGACGCGAAAGCAGAGTCTATGCTGCTTATCAGTTTCTGGGGAGGGCGCTTATCGCTTTGTTTATATAGTAGGCACGGACACATTCGTATAGGAATATAAAAAACGTATATACATACGTATATATAGACGTATGCGAGACATTGCATAACCGAGCAAAACAGAAATAGGAAGCTGCGATGTGGATGTGGGCCAGGGAAAACTCTCGGAAGATGAGCATACTTGTACACGGGAAAGTGAGTGTTTAAATGCCCATTTTTGGGAGGCTTTTCTCGACTGATGTTCATGTATCCATCAGACACAGCTCTAACTCTCAGTGTACCTCTGTCTCTCCTCTCCGTCTCTAAAGTATCTCTGTATCTGTCTCTCTGGCAACAAAACTTGTTTTCCATTGCAATTTGGCATACTATTTGCTAACTGGGTTAACTTGGGGTATTTCTTTCTGTCTCTACAACATTCGCGCACGCGCAATCTCTTGCCTTGCCTTATGGGAAAGGAAAAACACCAGTGAAATTCTTGTGGAAATCTCACGACATTTACATATTTTCTATGAAACATGCGAGTATATCCCATATATCGCATATATCGCAGGGAAAGGAAAGGGGGCAATCCCACCAGAGAGAGTGCGATAATTAAAGCGTGACGAATGTGATAAAGTGGAGGCTAAATGAGTGCTGTGCTGTACTTTGCTCGAACTGCAAATTATCGGGAATCGGAAAACGGGAATCCGGGAATGGATGACTGGGGCACTTACCCTTAACGATCGGTTCGTTGACGAGAGTCATCTCCTCCTGGGGTATCATTTCCATTAGTCGCGCTATGTCCTTGGCCAGCATGTTGTCGACAATGTCCAGGAGATGGGGCTTCAGTGAGTGGAACTTGGTAAAGTCCTGATGCTGCAGGACATCCTGCATTTTCTTAATGTCTGGGAAGTCGCCGGGCGATATCGAATGCTCGCGCTGAATGCGATCGTAGACCTGGCCCAGGTTCTTGATCAGATCCTTCTTCTTGCTGTCCTTGCCAAACACCGACGGCATGTCCTTGCGCAGTTCGGCGATGATGAAGGCGTGCACCTTGGCCAGGCGCGCCCTCTTGATCAGATCGTTCAGCTTGCGCAGGGCAGCGTTGCGGGGCAGGGATTGCAGGTCGCGGAAGAGATCCTGTTCCTCATCCTCGAACAGGCGGCGGTTGGAATCAAACCGCAGCGGCTGGTCCCAGAACGAGCCAATGTAGACGCGGGCCACCTCCGGCGTCTGCAGCACTTTGCCCAGGGACCACATGAGCGCTCCATAGACCCGCATCAGCTGCTGGTGATCGATCATGTCCGCCTTGTTGAGGATGATGCGAATCTTGTCGTCGTGGCCCTTGAGGGCCTCGATCGAGCGCCGGAACTCGTCGGAGATGTCCAGTTTGTGGGCATCGAACAGCAGGATGATCCGATCGACGCGCTCCGCGAACCACTCCAGCACCCCCGTGAAGTCGTAGCCTCGGTCGATGCGCTGCTTCTCGCCGGACAAGATGCCGGGCGTGTCCACGATGGAGATGGCATTCAGCACCGGCGAGGCCACGCTGGAGCACTGGAAACGATTGAGGAACGCATTGCCGTACTTGGAGAGAGGACGGAACTGTTTCTTGGGATCCACCACCAGGGCATTGCCGGGTATGACTCCCTCCTTGTCGTCGTACATCACGGCAATGAAGCGATCTGTGGTGGGCTCTGGACCAATCCGAATACCGGGAAAGTCTCGCTCCAACAGGTATCGAATGAAGGTCGTCTTGCCCGTGGAGTACTGCCCCACCAGCAGTATCATTGGCTTCGCATCGAAGTCCGGATCCTCCAGCTTGGGCGAGTGAAAGTCATGGAACTGGTAGTGCTCCTCCAGGGGCAGCAGCTTGCTCCGATAGATCTTTTTCAGCTCGCCAATCACATTTTCCACCACCTCCTGGTTTTTCTGCTCGCGCTTCAGAAAACTGAACATTTTGGTGCACAGAAATAACAATTAGTAACTAATAATATAATGCGGGGTCGCGCGCACAGATAGGATCCAGGGGTTGGCCACGACACGACGACAGTACGTGTAATATTTACGCGAATATTTTTTATATATCTGTATGTACACTATATTTATGTGCGCTGGACGAGGGGCTGGCTGGCCTGGCTGCTGGCGGCTATGATTCACGGGCGCGTACGTATTATTTTTGGACTCAAAATGTATAAATTAGTGGTGCAACAATTGTCATTTTCTGGCCACGTTCGATACTATCGATGGTTTTCTAGTGGCGGGCCACATCATACTGATGCGAAATCTATCGCAACTATCGTAGGTATGGATTGGAATAACTCTCTATTATGACAATCTGTTTTTTTTCTACTATCAGCCATGTCCCGAAGCTATATCTAATGGTTCCACCGGCCAATGTAACCACGATATTCAAAGTAAATCTAGATATACAGAGAGCCCTCTCCTTAAAAGAAGCTATCGCGGCTTATCTTTGAAAACATCGATAGACATTTAACATACAGTGGTCACAACGAATAAATCGCAAACGAATTTGCTGCGTACGCTCCCAGGGTGCTTGAAATTATTTGTTTTGTTTATGCTCTAACGTATTTTAATGGATGGGTATACGTATTTTGTGTGCATGGGTATATATTAGGATTTCTGCACACGTGTTCTCACACTCTGCGTGTATAAGTTCTACGATTTCTGGCATATGTGGACTATTTTATTATTGTTTAATGTGAATTAAATTTTTGTATATAAATTAATACAAATTACTAATTAATTACATGGGACCCTGTGACCGTGTGCAGCAAATTCGCTTGTATAGTTAGTGCTACGGGGATATATCTTCTCCGAATGGCATAATTATTTATGTTTGGTAGGGACAATTAAGGAAGAGAGCGCGTATTTAAAACTCTTATGCTCACCCATCTCCTGATTCAAGGCGTGACATCGGAAGAGCCGCCCTTAAAGTTATTTTAATATTATACGAATAATGAGTAATATCCAAAAAGACTTGATCTTTAAAATATGCGGAATCCCAAAAACTCGGAGAATTTCAATGATACAAAATATAGTTATTTATAAAGTGCCAGGTATGACAATTTGAAAGTAAGCCTACGCAGATTAAAAGTAATTTATGGTTTAAAAACCTCAACGTCGTCTTTGTTTTGCAGAGGTATTGCCGGGTCAAGGCCGAAATTCATCTTCATAACGTCACAGAACACGGAGAAGAATATGAAGGCATCTACAAAATGGTTGAGGGTGAAACCAATAGATCGATCCTTCGAATTGTGAATACTGATAAGGGATTGAATGACTAGCAAAATTCCAGCCGCCACCTGCGTGTAAAGGTAAAGAAGTTTGAAATACATATCTGTCAATATATTTATTTGCTTATAAATCTTAAAGAGTACATGGTTTGAATATGTTACAAGTTAATCGTTGGATTTTTCTTAGTTCTAAGGTGTCTTTGCATGCGGTTCTAGAAGTCTAAGCGGCTGTGACGAGTACTCAATGCCGAAACCCGAAATAATTACATTCAGAACGGATATCACGAATATCACCACCAATATGATATCGTTCAAGATGACCGCCGCCGTCTGATCTTTCTGCCGATTGATGTTGAGACCGCCGATGGCCACAAACAGAATTCCAACCAATAGCTGTCAAAAATGGATAATGAGATTGTTAAAAATCAAGCTATTTTCTATCAATCTAAAGGTGTTTATTGGCCCCCTCTAATTCACGTTATTCAGGAGATCGCCTTGCGGCGGGGGCAGACGACTATCAAAGGCCGAGATAAAGAGATTTAGCATCGTTGTGAAAAACGCAAATGCAGTGCGAACATGATTAATAACATTGGCCGATTGGTGAAACTCTGGCTGGTGGAGTCGGCAGTCCCTCAACAAACTCAGCGACAAGCTTAGGACACCCGACAGTATCTAAGGACATGTGAAGAACGAGGCCGTTACTACCCCATGCCGAGCAGGAAAAGCGACAACTCACCTGCATCACGATCGACAGACTGATGAGAATCAGCATCAGCTTGTAAAACTGATGCTGTTCCCCCACCTGGAGGATGTACTTCAACTGGGAGGCATTGGCAGTCAGCAGTGCTATGTCCAGCATGCCCTGGGCGATCGTCTTCTTCGTCGCATACCGATTGGCGTCCATGGCTTTCATCTAAAATGATTAGGAGTTTACTATAATTACAACCGTAAGCGTATAAACTACTAAGTGTGTAACATGAAGGATAGATAGATACATTGTCGAAGAACGATACCATTTCGTCAGAGCAAGTGCTGAATTCAGACTGACGACTGATAGATCTGGTAGATCGATTCAATAGTTATGCGTTATCTTTGCAATTTCTGGCGAGTCGTGTGCTGTGCTGATAACAGAGAACATCGAACATCATCTACTCAAAATAATTAACCAAAAGGGGGACAACATTGGGAGCAAGGATGGATTTCTTCGAAGTCGAAGTTAATTCTGAATTACCTGCCAGGCATATTTGACGGATTTCTGCAAAGGAAGAAGGTGTAACATACTACAAATTACATACAAATGATTGTTTTTTATATGATACACCAAGGATAAGACCTATCATTGGTGTTTAAATTAGAAAATCAATATGGGAAAGCAAACAGCAGACGGAAGTTGGAAAACTTTTCGCACAGTTTGTCAGTCAGTTCAGAATTTAAGGTGCATGAGGCAAACGAGTCGTGTATATCATACATCATATTTAATTGCAACACGAATGGCAACAGTCGGAACAAAGACAACAACAACCGCAACAGCAGAATAGAATGACAATTACTATGGCCGGGATTCCAATGGAGATGGGATGTGGTGGCTCATTCCAAGCCTCGAACAGACAAAAATGTATAAATTATTTATAAACAGGAATGTGTGGAAGATCAAGGCCGAGTGTGTGAGTGAGATTTATGCGTAATAGCAACGGAATATTTGTAGACTTACCTCAGTTTCGTTGACCCGCTCATCCCCAGCCACAACCTGAGCCATTCTGATTTTTTATTTGGTTTCGCTTTCAAATTGCTTTTTGTTGGTTTTCGGTCACACAACGTTGCACCTTTGTCGGGTGTGCACTTGATTCAACAAAGCTCAAAATTCATTTCAATTCGAGCTGTTCGGGGTTTCATTTCATTGTCTTCTCTAATTGTGGAAACCTGAAGCGTCGTTGTCGTGGAGACGGCTGGCGACACAACCAAACGATTAAACAACTGAAAGCCAACTGAAATGATTCCCAGCTAAGAGAGTGCCCGCCGCGAAGCCACTGGAGCACGCGAGCTCTCTTTGCTCGCGGTAGCGAGAGAGCGTTTCTGCCTCGACTTGGCTTGGCGCGCGGGAACATGACTAATTGCAGGAGCTCAGTGTCGTAAAATGGGATTTATTGATTTATTTTCAGCGAGCCGCTACCACCGATCTGTCGGAACAATCAATGGAGGGCCAATTGGTAATCGGTAATGGATAGCTGGAGGGTTTTTATAAATTTTAGTACTTTATTTTCTAGGCTGAGAAGCAGTTTCAATAAATAGCATTTTAAATACTTTGCGCCCTTTTATGCGTAAGACATACACACACAATTTGCTTCGAATCTCTGGGGGTACGGGTTACGGGTACTTGATGTTAGCTGACGCATGGGTTTTGATATCGATTTTAATAAGCCTTTCACACACAGCGTTTAAGTCAATAAACACACTAAAAAGTCTTTCTATGCACGGCTCGGTGGCCCTCTTCCTCGTATTCCCGCTTCGATATCCACATTTTCTTGAAGGTATCAAGCGATGCCAGAATCGAGCCGCCCATCCATGTGGAGTAGAGACGCTCTTGCGGGGCGGCAATCTAATGAACAAAAGGCACGTCAGCACCAGCCATTTTGCATGTCAATTTGATATAGTTACCCTGATTTTCAGATCCTTGGCTGAATGCTTTCTCAGTTCAGACAGCAGCCGATCGCCGAATCCCTTGAATAGAGTTGAACCACCCGAGAGCACAATGTTCTGGTAGAGCATTTTCCTGAGATCCATATCCGACTTTTCTATGGAGTACATTAGAACGTCGTGTATGCCCTCGCACTCCTCGCCCAGCAGGTCCGGACGGAAGAGCACCTCCGGGGCCCGGAAGCGTGCGGGTCCGATCTCAAAGGTCTTGCCATCGGGCAGTTTGTATGCAAACTTTTCCGTCTCCACAGTTTCTTCCTTCTGCGGGTTGGTGGCCAAGTAGCAGACCTTCTCCTTGATCGAACGCACAATCTCAAACTCGGCGGTTGACCGAAAGTTGAAGCCCTCCCGGCGTATGAGTGTCTTCAGGTACCGCGTCACATCCCGACCGGCAATGTCCACACGCATAATACTGTGTGGCATGGCGAATCCCTCATAGATGGGAACCGCATGCGTCACACCGTCACCGGAGTCCAGCACGACGCCAGTCACTCTTCCTGTGGCATACAGACTGAGGACCGCCTGCATTGACACAAACAGTGCAGGAGCATTGATGCTTTCAAAGAAGAATTCGGCAGTCTTTTCACGGTTGCGGCGTGGATTTAGTGGAGCCTCTGTGAGTAGTACTGGATGATCTTCCGTGAAGGTGGCTAGTTGTTCCTAAACAAATGGATGTGAAGCTTAGCTTGGTATGCCAAAAGCCGACTTGAATGGATCTTACTTTGCTATAAATGTAACTCCATATTCGCTCCATATCGTTCCAGTCCGTCACAATACCGTGCTCCATGGGATACCGTATGCTGAGCAGACCGCGATGCTCCTCCGCCTTGGGACCAACGAATATGTCGCCCTCCAGGGCACCAGCCATTACCCGAATATGCTTGGGTCTGCCAATGCTACGGGAAGACACAAATCAATTAATTTTTTTCTGGTTCTCGTTCGCACTGGACTTTTCTTTTGTACTCACTAATTGGGGAACCTGCATTTTGGAATGTGCTCACCAGCAAAGCCGGCTTTGATAACACCGGAGCCCTGGAAACAGATATATGTTTATTCAAATTAGTCAGTTCACAATCAACTATAAAATTCAAGTTCTTGATTATTTCTTTTATTTTTTCTTGTAAGTTGCTATGTTTTCCAGAGTTCCATTAGCAGACATGTGGAATGTGTCGAAAAGTTGCCAGAAATTACGCAAGGAGACAACGCTTGGATTCGCTGCCATGAATAAAAAACTGTCGATTATAAACGACCAGGATCTGCATAGGCTGGACTCATTCTACTTGGAGTGCCAGAAGTACAGGGACTATTACCGGGACCCCCAGAACAAATTGATACGTCCAAAGATCTTCACATCCACGGGAAGACGCGGTGTAAAAAATGATATGACGAATATGCCGATCACATGGGTTCAGGACGATAATAGGCCGCAGATGTTTCCCATTGAATATGGCACGGACATGAGTTTGGGCAAGGGCTTCCAGACGGTGGGGCGCAACAGCAGATTCACTGACACGTCCTTCGTACGATAAAGCAGCCGCCACATACACACAAACTTGTGAGAATACATGCATGCAGACAATCAGTGGAGTCAAAGGCTAATGACGAACTTGCAATCAAAATTGTACATAGTTGTGCAAATAAAACAAAATCCTATGTTGTCCAAATATGTTTCTCGCATTAGTCATGGTTGCCCCCATCTGAATACGGCTTGAAAAAGCTTACTGACAAAGGGACGGGCAGGTGATGTCACTGTTGGTTTGTAAATCGCAGGAAATTGCAAGTACGGCGTCGCTAGGGTCTACGCTGTATGTATTACTGTGAACTTACGTTATCTATGACGACGGGCTGGTTTACTACGACATCATAAGGCTCCATTTTGTGCGTTTATAAAAATTTGCAAAATTTTCTAATAAATAGAGTTAGTTGCAGATATTTGTGGTCGAACGATAGGCTGGTTTATCGTTATCGAACAGCCCTGTCAAGCTGGGTAGCAAATATTTTTAAGAATATTTGTCACTGTTACTCACTGCTATCTCTCGTATATATTATCATCGAGATAACTAATTTGAGCATTTGTGAGAATTGAAGCATAAATAGCTAAGAAATGTATTATAATACTTTATGAAGCATATAAAAACTGCTACAGGGATATTACTTTTGTGTGACACCTATTTATTTTTGTCCCCTCCCAGTGACCCATTCACTGGAGCGATATTTTGCACCCATCTCTAGTATTATTGTTGTTTCATATTATTAATGCAATGTCTGCATCAAATTTAGATAAAAAACCGGACGTAAAGCCGCCTCCTGGGCTGAAGGCCATCATAGATCACCTCTTCCAGGTGTATCCCGACCAGCCGAATCCCCTGCAGGTGACCACGCTGCTGAAGTACTGGTTGGGAGGCCAGGATCCGCTGGACTACATCAGTATGTACAACAACAAAGGAGATGCAGAGAAGAATGTCCCCCCGCATTGGCACTACATCAGTTTTGGGCTCAGCGACCTGCACGGCGACGAGCGTGTCCATCTGCAGGAGGAGGAGTCGCATCGGTCGGGGATGGGATTTGAGCTGACGTTCCGGCTGGCAAAGACGGAGGCTGAGCTGCAACAGGAACAGGAGTGTCCGGAGAAGCCCCTTCGGCCACCCACATGGCCAGCCAATCTGCTCCAGGCCATTGGCCGGTACTGTTTCCAAACGGGCAACGGCTTGTGTTTTGGCGACAACATTCCCTGGCGCAAGAGTCTGGATGGCAGCGAAAACTCCATGCTGCAGAGTCTGCTGGTCGCACAGGATCCTCAGCTGGGCTGCATCGAGACACCGTTTGGCACCGTTGACTTTTGTCAGATTGTTGGCGTCTTTGAGCACGAGCTGGAGCAAGCTTCGCGCTGGAACGGGCGCGGAGTTTTGAATTTCCTGCGCGAGGATATCCAGACAGGCGGCGAGTGGCTGGTTACAAACATGGAACGAACAATGAGTGTGTTTGAGCTGTTCCCCGAGACGTTGATCAATCTGCAAGACGACCTCGAGAAGCAGGGCTCCGACTTGGCTGGAATTAATGCAGATTTCACTTTTAAGGAAACGAAGCCGACCATAGTCAAGCAGGAGGTCGATTTCCAGTCCCTCAGTGAACGGTGTGCCACCGAGGAGAACAACCGCCCGATGACGGAGTCACAAATGAAGCGGGAGGAACCGAGCTTTCCCCAATCGATGTCCCTCAGCAGCAATTCCCTGCACAAGTCCTGTCCCCTTGACTTTCAGCCCCAGGCACCGGACTGCATTTCCCTGGATGGCATCGAAATTACCTTGGCCCCAACTGTGGCCAAGTACTTGCTGCTGGCCATCAAGGACCGCATACGGCACGGCCGGCACTTCACCTTCAAGGCGCAGCATCTGGCCCTGACTCTGGTAGCGGAGACGGTAACAGGAGCCGCTGTCAGCGTCCATGAGCCATACGGCGTTTTGGGCTATTGGATTCAGGTGCTTATACCAAATGATCTCGTGCCGCGCATGATGGATGACTTCCGCAATGCAAATCTGGACGAGAACACCGAGCTGACACAACGCCTGCAGTTCGACTGGCCCGACAAGAACCTGAGGCTGATTCTGGACCAACCGGAGTCCATTCTTCCCATAGCCCCAGGAGTCACAGCCTCAGCTTCAGTCACAGCCATGTCCCTTGATGCAGTTCCACAGAGCATGTGAAACCGGCGAGCTACTAGGAGTTAGTATTATTATGATAATTTAATTGAAAAAAATCTTCTTCCACTAACACGTAAGTTTTATATTGTATATTTGTGTCTAATACATGCGGCCTTTGCTCCCAGCCGGAGTCCAGTCAAAATATATTCATATACTCGTACCCGAAGCCACTGTTGTACGTGCTTTTGATCCAGCTAAAGAGCCGGCGCCGGCGCCAGCGCCAGGAGGGAACATAACAATTCGCCGGATGAGTCAGTTGGGTTCAACTTGTTGAGCGCCTGTGAAGAAGCATCGGACGCGGGGTTTTCTTTTGACGGCAACGGATATGCCCACTTTAGAGTTGCCGAAGTCAACGTCACCTCCCAATTGACGGCACTGCGCAGTGGCCTCTGTGGTCCACCCGAGATGCTTCAGTTTCTAATTCTGGGAATTGATCAATTAGAGGCCTTTTTCGATTCCGTTGCGGCCAAATTGAATAGACACCGGTTGTCCGTCGATCATGTGATTTGTCTGCCTTTGGAGACGGATTCTTCTTGCTTCTGGGCCAGCCCAAAATTATACACCCGACATTCTATCCATCTATCACTCAGAGCCAGACCAGAGCCGATGGGAGCTGTGAACTGGTGGAGCTTTTAGCGCCCGCTTGTTTTTGTGCCCATCTTCGTCGGTTGCCTAGGTGAAATTTGTTTACCCCAGAGAACGCGCCGAAGTGTCGTGAACATTTTTGCAACCAGCTCGTGGAAAATAATTCAATTTTTCTTCATTCCGCTGCCGACAACGCAAGCGGTCGGTTGTGTGGTTCGCTCGCTGATTGGTCTCTCAGTCTCTGTCTCTGTCCCGACACACGACACCACTTCGGCCAGTGGCAGGCGGTTTGAGTGCGCGCTTTCCTTAGTGTCTTCGCCGGAATCTTGAAGTGGATCTTACGTTTGGAGCAAATCCGGGCTAACATGTACGTAGAGATGCCTCCGCAGGGTTTGTCTGTCCTGGCGCTCTCCTGCTCTGGCAGTTGCATAATGGCAAAAGTGACGTGACCTTCGTTTTCGGTTGTGACGCCCCCTTGGGTGGCCTGCCGGCCCGCCGGTGCGTCGTATATTCAAACAGACACGTGCACGATAGTACGAATTTCTTTGATAGCCGAGCAACAATGTGGTTTTATTATTCTGCCGAGCAATTCGCATTACATTGAATTTTCGCTTTTCGGCAGTTTTTTTCGGCTGCCTGCCCCACCGTGATGGGGGGAAAGAAACGTTCGAGTACACAGCGAACCGTAAACTTGCACTGTCCCCGGCGTGCACTATGCAAGGGCATGCATATGCATATCTTTAGAATGCGGCAAATTGAGTAACTCTGTTATCGCATGTAATGCAATCTAAATTTTGTTCAACCCAAAGAATGTGATATAATGCTGCTGCTGACCAGATATTGGGCGTTGTAAAATTAAAATTATATATGCACTTGAAATCGAGAAGAGCCAACGTAAAAAGTAAAATCATTTTTTATATATAAGACTATTTCAAAGATTCTATTATCTGGATTCAGGCTAGATTGTTGTCTAATTAAATAATGTTTAAGTACTAGGTAAAAAGGATACATCCTTGGTAGCTCCATTTTCCTCACGAAAGTGTACCCCTGTGCGGCTTGCAGTTTCCAAGATTATCCATCATTATACTTCTGATATATTTCTATATCCTTCCGCTACTCCTCTTTAGATCGTACATATAGATACTTTCTTTGTCTGCTCATTAAGTTGGATTCTGGAACTGTTGGCAATGTAAATTGTAATTCCCTGAGCGGGCGGGACTGGCAAACAAAGATAAACGTGTCCAAATATTTGGCTAGCCAATTCCCTCAGTCTGTGATAATTTCCTGCAAATGGGGCGGCGCTGGGAGCGATAGCATTTCGGCAGTTGACTGTCAACAGCATAAATATTTTGGGTGCAATGCAATGACTGATTAAGATGCACATTTATACGTACTCCCAGCATACTTGACACCCACTTGATCGTATTTGCAGTCAGCTAACAGCCCACAGCCAGCAGGAAGAGAAAGACCCGCAGCCATGGCAGAGAACGAGCCGCTGAACGAGACACAGAAGCAGGTGAATGGTCGCATCCTGCCCAGCAACGGACACATATCACCGGCATCCAGCAATGGCCAGGTGCATGCCAATGGCAGGAGCCTGGTCAAGACGCCGTCCCTGGCGAATGGGAACGGGGCGGCCAACGGCACACACATCGAGGCGCCCTGCTGTCGAGACATACACGGCAAGGAGCCGCCGGATGGCGGAGCCCGGGCCTGGCTCGTCATGGTCAGTGCCTTCCTCTGCAACGGCATCATTTTCGGTTTCATCAACACCTACGGCGTGCTGCACTCGCTGCTGAGCGACCGCCTCACAGCACTGGGTGACCCGGAGGCCTCCAGTAAAGCGGGTGAGTCCGAGTCTCATGGGGGCGTGGTGCGGATGGGTCTTGAGCTGGGCCCAAGACAGACCTAGCAATTTGCTGACATAATCCCTTCACTCCACGACAGATGGCCCAGCGGCAAATTGATTCTGAATTTATGACAAATTTCTGGCGTTGATTGTAATTATGCAGAAGGAGAGCGCAAATGAGATTAGATGGGAACTGGACAGTTGTTTTTCAAGCCATTATCTGCTATATAGTCAGCCTACATATTGTACTCAATGTATATAATGTGAAATATATTTTGTAGGCTTTGATAGCACCCTGAGGGGTCTTAGGTTTTGATTTTTATTATTCAAGCAACCAAAAATTGATTCATATATTGCTCAGCCTTGGAAGTATTTGGTTTGCTTTGAAAATAATATTTCTATAGGCATTTATTCAGAGATGCTCAAGCCATAGAATGTCTGATAGATTTGGAAATGAGAATACGGGTAATATAGGATTATATTAATAAGTTTAATAGGTAGATAATAAATGAAGTGTGCCACAAAACAAAGAGAAATGTTAGAAGTTTGGTTGGATTATGTTAAGAACATCGTTCCTGTGGCAGATATTTGCAATAATCGTCCGATCTTGGGAGCTCTGCCTTATAAACATTCTTCGAATCGATGGTTCGCTGCACACTGATCCAGACATGTGTAGAACGTGTGCACTCGTTGTATTTTGAGCCATCACATATGCCCCCAGTAAGCATGCTCTTCCGACCTGATTCGAGTACCTATGATATTTATCATTTCCGAATCTAACGGACTGTGCAACTTTACCCCCAAACGCACATCGTGGCGGCTGCTGTTGTTGCTGTTAGTGCAGTTTTTGCTGGGTTCAATAAAACGTTGTAGTACGTAGTAGGAATGACGATATAGGAATCCAAAGTGCCGACATCAAGTGAATTAAATTGCTAAAAGTTGATTGGATCACAAAGCATTATTCAACACCCGGCGTCGGCCAGGGCGAGGGCGATGTCAAGTCTGTTGGAGTCGGCTAGAGTTGAGTTGCTCGATGTAAAGGGAATAATTTTGCGTGTCAAACAGACACCCACAAAGGTCTGGTTAAAACGAGCTGGACCTGGGCATGGGCCTGGGCCTAAAGTGTCAGTGCGCATGTTTGGATTGGCGGAATGTCGAGCAGAGTTCAAATCGGTTATGAGTGTTTGTCAAGGTTTGCTGTCGGCCTGCATTACGCATACGCAGCGTGGAGCTCATGCATTGGGGGCACGGACGCCGGACCGCTTTGAAGGGGCGTAGCGCCTGGCAGATGCCCGAAAGCAGAAGGCAAAAGCCGCAAACAAAGACGGCAAACGGCATGCAGCCAAGAGTGGCAAGAATGGCAAGAGGCACACTCTTGCACCCGCCACTGACCCAGTTACTTGGTCCGCTGGCGCTGGCGCTGCCGCTGTCGTCGAAGCCCAGCAAGTGCTTGACTGCTTGACAGCGATCCTCCTCAGCCATGGGCCCGGAGCTCCCAGCAGATGCAGTAGCAGAAGCAGCGGCTGACTGGCTTTAGTTCCGCAATATGATTAAAACTTGACGTAATCCGAACCTGAGCCGTCCACGGCTCTGCGAGGAGGTGTTGTGCCATATTTTGCGACTTTTATCGCTTTTCAGTCTCGGTCCACTACCACTGCCAATACCTCAGTTTCTATTCGTCAATTAATTGTCAGTCTATTGTCAATTATACACTTCTATGGGCACATTACAATCACTTAACGGTAGCTTATCTATTTATATCAGAGAACTTTCGCAAAGGTCAAGATCAATCATTCAATTATCCATACAAATCATTGGCCAGATCCGATGCAATTCCGTTGCATATTGCGTCAGATAAGGCATGAGAAATGGGTTTGCTAGCTGTCGTCCCCATTGAATATGAGGCGTGCTAAAAATACACTGATTTATTTGGGCTAGTCCTCCCCTTTCCCACACACAGACAATCGCTAGACGCCGGCCGCCGGCCGCCAGAGATCTCATGTAATCTCTTCCGACTCGGTTTCTTTTTTAGATTTTTGGCTTCTGTTCAAGAAGGCATTCGCTAGGCTATTATCTAATAATTCTCTACGCAGCTCTCTCGTAATCTCACTGTCTCTCAGACACAATGCCATTGACTAGCGGCGGGGGGGAGCTGGGGGTGGCATGCAACAGAACAGCGGCCACACCATCGCCTTCGCCTGTGGCATTGACATTGACTGTTGCCTTTGTCGAGATACGAGTAGCTTCCACTTGACTGGGCGAGTGGCAGATTGTTTCTACTCACAGTGAATACTTGGTTATACGCACTTTTAAAAGATTGAAATTGCTAATGCTGGACTCTGAAGCAGTCATACAATCACATTTGCTAAAGAGTAGAATACCCACAAACCCTTGGATTTAAATAGAACTTTCTATCGAGCTTGCACTGTAAGAATTATTATATTTATGTGGAAGTCAGCCGCAGGCCTTGTGTTTTTGTTTTCTGTGGTATTGGTGTCATATCGAATGATCAATAAATATTTATAAATCCTCCAAAGTAGGTGAAATTCTATTATAGATGTTAATAATATTCTTCTTAAAGAAAGTGCAATTTTAGTTGCTGTTAAAATTCTTTATGCTATAAGAATATTTTATGAACTTCAGAATTGTATATATAATTTATATTTTCATGTTCTAAGCAATTAACAATAGAACATAAAGATTAACTTTATATTTGAATTTGACCGGAACTAGAGATAAGCTTTTCGCCTATGTAGCACGCGTGGGGCAAGTCGATTTTTAGTACTTAATACATTCAGTCTAACATGATCTTATAAACTGAACTGGCGATACGAAATTTGCTTGAACTTCAACATGAAGTTATTTATATTCTGGTACTTTGAAAACTACGTACTATATAGTTAGTGTTTGATAGTAGTAGTTGTACTACAAGTATGTTGGGAATCCTAAACTATTTCGAGCAGTGAGCTTTATGCGGCTCCGTCCGGATGGACTTTGGGACAATGGGCACTCGTTCGGCTGATGATGATGATGACAATTGCTCATCGGCGCAGTGGGGCTTCGGTCGGCTGTGACGGACATTAGATCGGCTGTGGATGAGAAGCGAACAAAGAATTAACCTGATTCTGTCAATCGAATATCAATTTGAGCGGCCAAAGTAGAACAAACGAAAGTGTTTACTCGATGCCCACAATTAGATTGGATTTCCCACTTGTGCTCGCAGAGTTCAGCGGAAAATTATTGTCGAGCGGACAAAAATTTAAATCTGGATCCCCATCCCATACAAACAGACGGCCCAAGAGGCCTACAGCCTCCGATTCCCACCAAGTGGGGCGCGATCGAGTTACCATCCAATCATCCACCTGGAAGCTGAAAGCAAAAACGTGGAATCGTAGCTGACTGCCAGACATGTTAGAGCCCGGCTCGTTTCACAATTAACCGCAAATGCGTGAGATTCGATTTGTCAGACGAAAGTGGTCTGTCTCAGCCAAACCGACAGTTGGTCAACAAAGCGACAGATCAGAAAGATTATCTTATTTGAGAAAGCTATGAAACAGTTTAGGATTATCTGTGAATGAAATATAACCGATCTAGCCAGAATATATATATTTGTATCTTCTTTTAGAATGTCCTCTCACATTTTGATTCCATATTTCAGCTCTCGTTGGCTCCCTGGCCATTGGCACCACATTCCTCTTTTCCACAGTCGCCGGCTGTCTGACGGACAAGATCGGTCTTCGGCTGACCACCTTCGCTGGGGGAGTTCTCTCGGCCGGGGGCCTGTTGCTGTCCTCGTTCTTTACCGAGAACATCAGTGCCCTGTACTTCAGCTATGGGATCATGTTTGGTCTTGGCGCGGCCCTGGCCTACACACCAACTCTTGCCATACTGGGGCACTACTTCAAGCGGTACCTGGGCAAGGTGAGCGGGTTCGTGACTGCGGGCTCCAGCGTCTTCACTGTGATACTGCCGCCCTGCCTGGACAGTCTTCTGGGCGGCTACGGCCTGGAGGCCACGCTGAGGGTGAGTGGTTCGGACCAGAGATTTCTCCCAGTGAACTTGAGCACTTTCAAAATTCCACATTCCAGATTATGAGTCTCATGTCTGCCTTCATAATTGTGTGTTCCTTCGTGTACAAGCCGCTGCATCCACCGCCGGATCCGCCCAAAAAGAAGCCAGGAAGGTCGCGCATCAACCTCTTTCTGCGCTCCATTGTCAACGTGGAGATCTGGAAGCGCAAGCGTTTCGTTATCTGGGCTCTCTGCGTACCGCTGGCCCTGTTCGGATACTTTGTGCCCTACGTCCATATGATGCAGTTCGTGAAGACGACATTCCCGGGCGAGGATGTCAACCTGCCGGTCATGTGCATTGGCATCACGTCCGGGATTGGACGCCTGATCTTCGGCATCATTGCCGACATGCCCGGTGTGAATCGCATGTATCTGCAGCAGCTGTCGCTGGTATCCATTGGCGTCGTGACTCTGCTGCTGCCTCTGACCAACTCATATGTGGTCCTGGTCTCTTTCACCCTGGTTATGGGCCTCTTCGATGGCTGCTTCATCTCCCTGCTGGGTCCGATTGCCTATGAGATCTGTGGACCCTCGGGTGCCACACAGGCGATTGGCTTCCTCCTGGGACTCAGCTCTATTCCCCTTACCGTGGGGCCACCGGTGGCCGGTATGATCTTCGATGGCACGGGATCATACACGGTTCCATTTGTATTGGCTGGACTGCCCCCATTGGTGGGTTCTTCGCTGCTGTTCCTCATCAAGTGCGTGAAGGATGACAGCAACGCCGCCAGTCCGCTTCGAGCTGTGGCACTGCCTAACGGTGACATTGAGATCGCCAGCAATGGAAATCATCTGACGGGTGGTGAGAGCTTATCATAATCGGAAGAGTATGTACATATATATTTACCCACGATATCTATTCCATAGGCACCAAATCCAGCGCTCCTCTCATGGGTGCGGCGGCCACGTACGGCGTTAATGGGGTATCACCGACGGCCCTCAGCAACGGACATGGACATGTGGACAACGGAACTGGTTTGTACTCTGCTTCACTTTGCCTTCCCAGCGACGACTTCGGTCAGCGCCGGCCTAGTATTACTGCTCGCTCCGCCTTGGGCTCAGCCCCAGCCCAGACCCCGGTTCTCGATCCTCCCTGTAGCTCGATTTATACTAACTCGGGCTCTCTCCTGCCCAGCTGCTCGCACACTGTCCTTCTTGGCCCTGGGTCGAGCATGTCCAGGCCATTGACAGACGGAACCGATACCAAAAAGCGTCGCTATACCTATTCCGTCTATTAACCCGACCGTCCTCCCACACCATTTCATATGCATATCCATAGCTATTGACTGGTAGATGTGCTCTCACTCGTATTTGTTTACTGTGCTTACACTATTCCATAGGGTAATAGAGTTATTTTTTATTCGAATAGCATGACTAAGACACGCTTCCATCCATTTGCCGCACACCCATCCAATCCCATCCCTTCCTAGACCCACCTGTAGTTGAGTTTTCCAATGCTTTCTAGATCTTAAGTCTCATCGACCCAGAGCTTCTGTAAATAAAATGCTTTACGTAAATAACCAATTCTTTGAATCCGAACTGTAGAGAAGCCATCGCATGGAGCTTGCACTGCATTCAATGTATCGAGTAAAGATAAATTACATTCAACTGTATTGTCCTGTGAATCTTTCAGAGAAACTCACCGTTACCGACGGATCGGCGTCGTAGAGAGAGTCGCTGTTGTCGTCCACTAACTCAAAATTCCACAAAACTTTCGAAAAACTTTTGAAAAGTTCTGCCATTTTACAGCTGCAGTCGCCTCATCGGAGACAGTGCTCAGCCAGCGCAAAAATCGATGGTGTTCATTTTGTATACACCCTTTTACCCTCAACACACATCATATCGGTGGAGAGACTTGTGCACTATATATGTACATATAGGTACAGATTCTCGTATCCTTCTTCATACGTGCATACTATATTTAGGCTAAGGCAATTCGCAATCCAAATAAAACTAATCTACTAATTTTTAAATAAATGATACATAGAAAGACGTGTCTTCATTATCTAGGGGCTCCTCAATAAACTAAAATTAAAAATAAGCCTATATAGGCTATGATAGATGGAAATTGGAGATTGATCGCCAGGGCCAGTCCGCACATAATATATCCGGATTATTTACATGCACTTTGAGTCCCACCAGACGATCAGATCAAAATATAATTGAATCGATTAAAAAGATTTGGTTAGGGATATATACCTACACATGCAGAATGTGAGAATTCGCACACCCCCATACATTAAAATATTCAGGTCCGTCAAAAGAAACAGCAAACGAATTGGAGGGACTTCTTCGATAATTTGCCAGATTATCAACCAATAGTCCAAGTAAATATAGTGTATTAGACCTATTGGAGACACCACTTTACCAAAAACGCACCAAAAACTCGACCTCTTGGGTGTTGTGGACTTCGGACCTGGGGTCCTTGTAGAAGGCATTGTGGTAGTGGTACACTCGTCCAGAGTCTTTTCACCTTTTCTTTTCTCCTCCCCAAAAGTTCTATACCATCCATTTCCCCCAGGGTATGTGTGTATGGAATGGGACTCATTGTTGTGAACCGGTTATGACGACTAATTCTTGGTTATTCTTTCTTCCGTCGAATATTCCCAGCTATATAGATCTCTCAGTTTTGCCCAGATAATTTTATATGATTGCTGAAACAATTTTAATCTGGATTAACTACTTTTAAGTACTTGCATGTTTTTTGTTTTGACAAAAACACGATTTCAACGAAAATGTTCAATAGTCGCATGTTGTGACGTCAATGTTGCTGGTATTTGCAGACTCATTTCTTGTCAACCAGAGTGTGGGCACAGGTATACCTTATTTCGTGAATATTATATAAAGATACTGTTTTCCAACCTGCTTTCAAACGTAATTAGTAAAGACCTTGTCTTAGATTGCATTTTTTTGGTCTATTCATGCATTTGATTAGGTGTTTGTATATAAATCCTGATCCCAGTACCAGTTCTTTGTCTCTGTAGACAGACGATGAGCTGCAAAATATCGTTTAAACCAGAGACTGACTTGTTTCTGCATTAATTAGAGCCTGGGATGACACACATTTCCGCAATTCTATATCATCCACTTCCCACAGGGTATGTGTGCATGGAATTAGCAACATGTTTGCGTGTGGTAATCGGGTAATCAATCGGGTAAAAGAGGTCTTTACCCGATTCAAGTCGGCTATCGATACTATCGTCTGGTTACGAGTGGTGCGCGCCAAATCTAACTTTTTTGAATGTGAGCGACAAGGATTTAAATGTTGTCAACGGTGCCATTACCGATTCAACAAATACGACGATTCCCTCAATATCTTCCGTCGAATATTAGCTATATGGAAGACAGTACCGTACTGTGCACAGATGGCGGCACAGTGCCGTGTAAAATTCATGTAAGACCCGTGTAGAACATGTAGAATATATATTTCTGATCTGCATCAACAATCCGGAACAAATTTTTAAAAATATAGTGCAATTTTTGCAGAATTGGACTCAATCAATTGTAAATCAATATAATCTCATCGAGCTGTAGTTTCTACAGCAATCGTACTTTTTTATAGTTCTTCTAGCCAGAATATCTTCGTTTTATATCCCCGTTTTCAGATGCAAATGGGCTATAATGAAGATTATCCAGAGGTTTCGAAGTTAATATGTATGAATTTATAGAGCCATTGAGTCTAGACCATTATGGAATTGTTGCTTCATTTTCATCCAGTCTGTTAAAGCCTCCAAATCCACCATACATCCTCTTTAACGGCAGATATTCGTTTACTTTTGAAATATAAAAGTACAACAAACGTACATATAAATTGTTTAATATCATACATAATTAGTTCCATTAAATATACATTGTTAAGGGTAGATCCGTTCCGTGCTTCTGTTGCTACTGTGCCATAGACAAGCATATACGTTATTTAAGTAGAGACAAAATCACAAGCAATTTTCTTGAAACTTAATACTACAATTAGGAAAATCATGTGAAATCATGTTTGCGTTTTCATATCTTCACTTATATTTTTGTGTGTGCTTTTGTGTTTTTGGCAAATTAGATGCGAATGAAAGCGTTCATAATCAGTAATTTACAAATTAGGCTAATCGCTGAGCGGAGCTGTCGCTGTCGGCTGTGTGGGCTATGTGGGCGGTTGTTGCATGTGGGGCAGCATTAATTGTGAGGGTGGTGCTGCTGGTACTGGTGCTGCTGCTGGAGAAGGCAGAGGAGGTTGCTGGTACAGCAACTTGCCATCCGAGTACCGCATCAGAGTCATCAGCTTCAGCATCCGAAGGTCCTCCTTGTTCTTGTCCTTATCCTTTTCCGAGCCGATGCTGCTTGCCGTCTGCTGGGCGCTCGGCAAGAGGCGGTGCTGATGTGGGTGCTGCTGTTGGTGGTGGTGGTGGTGGTGGGGTCGCAGGGGATCTGCTGACTGGTCGGGTCTTTAAAATACTCAAGTCATTAACATTCTCTAAAAAGCTTTTGTTCGCTGACAATTGTTTCGTGATCTGCACATCCTTTTTCAGCTCCTCCATGTCGCGCTTGAGCTTGGCGCGTCGATTTTGAAACCAAGTGATCACCTGTTGAAGAGATCCAGTCATCAATTCCCATCGTATTTAACTGCATTACATACTCACCTGAGCATTAGAGAGACCCAGTCCGCCCGCTATCTCATCGCGATCCGCTGGCGAGAGATATTTTTGGTATAGGAATCGCTTTTCCAGCTCAAAGATCTGCTGATTGGTGAAGGCGGTTCGGGACTTGCGTTTCTTCTTTGGATTGGAGCGTGTTGCAAAGATGTTCAGCGTTGAGGGATCTGCAATGGATCAACATTAACATCAGCATCAGCATCAGAATGAGTTCAAAAAGGTGTGATGAGGACTGTGATGGCATCGTAAATTACGAGTATTCAGCTATCAGTCAACTTTTTATGTGCTTCACACAGCTGATCATAAAAGTGTTGCTGAAGACTGGGGCTTTATGGGGCTTTTGGCTCTTCTCGCATTCGTTTAACCTTATCCCCAGACCTAACCATCGTTTTGTTGCCTAGTTTTAATGATCGCCTTTTATAATCTCTACGCATTCGTTGGCACTTTCGATTCAATCAGTGAAAAGCCTGTACCGGGCTCGTGGTTGAAACAATTTCAAAACACAATTCGATGGAATTCATAATAGACAATAAACAATAACAAATCTACGGTCATAAAAACCCGGGGGTTGGGATTCTCTAGCCAGATATGTGAATACTTTGCCGACGCCCTTTATTGGCCCGGCCGAGTTGAATGATTTCCTCTGTGAGTGCGAGAGATGTTTTTGTAAGCGATTCGATTGGGGCTCTCGGTTTGGATTTTGATTGCCGGTATTTGTTTTTGGCATGTTTAAAGGTAATACGTCCGCTGATTGATGTTTTGGAAAGTATTCCGCGGCGGAAATCGCCTCAACTCGGTTGAACCCGAGACCCAATCCCATTAGAAATTGTTTATTTATCGCGCGGCAATTCAATTCTGCGCCTTTCGGTGGGGTTTTTATGAATGCTCAATATTTATACGCGGGGCGAATGATCTCTCATCTTAAATATCAACGGAAATGGTTGTTCTTTCCCAGTTTCGTATGTATAAAGATGGGGATGGAAGGAAGTCAGTCGGACGATGGCCACGGCAGCTGCTCCTTGTATAACCCCTGCAGAGTCGAACAGGAGACAGCAGTAACTTTGTTGCTGCTAAACATGTCCGACAATTAACAATTAAGACGCCCAAATTTGGTCCTTGCGTCTGGCAAGGACACTCCGACTCCTGGAAGGGGTTGTTTCCTTCCCTCCCGTTTTGTGTGGCCCTGCGGTTGAAGTGGAAGTCCAACCCAGAGCCATTTTGACACTACCCTGATGTGTTTATTGTGAAGTTTAGATTATCTGCTGTTGTGTACACGCCCCTTTCCAGTACTATTACTTTAGGGTTTTGGGGTTGTACAGCTCTAGGGCCAGGAAGCACGCCACGCATATTTCCTTCCCCTATGAATGGAGCAAGAATATGAATGGATCTTCAAAGGATCAACTGAATGGGATGTGCGTGAGTTGTGTCATCATTTATAACTTATATGTTGAACCCCCGTTTAAAAATTCAAGTTAATAAAGCAATGAAGGATACTCGTACGTATAGTATATTTGTAGTGTTCCTAAATGAAAAACCTGTTTTCAGGTTCTCTTGGATAAATATATTTCCTCAGTGAAATAATAAACCAGGTTGCAACATTTTTTCTTAGTCTTACATTCCCCAAAACTTGATCGTTATCCGAACGAAACGGATCAGTCGATTTCTTTAATTAAACCGTTTAAATGAGTCGGAAATCCAATATATATTGGCCACACATTGGCCAGGGCATACAGACACGCCTCTAATTAAAAGCCCAGGCATACCTTGTCGGTGCCTGATCCTAGTTTAGTGGGTGTGCTTTTGGCCATTTTCTCAGCTTTATTAATTATGAAAGTTCCCCTCAGGGGCTGGACCAAGTCGAACATGGGGCTAATAGCTTAACCCACATGCAGAGCCACTGGCAGAGACCGTGGCTATGGCTGTGGCTGTGGCAGCTGCCGTTGAGGCACTAACAAGTCCGAGTGGCAGGCATCCAGATGGAATTGAATAGGGACATGTTTGCCGAAAGAATTACGACCCGAGCACCCACAAAACAAGCCAGCAAACAATGTCATCAGCATAACTAATCACGGTGACAGGCGGCAGGGAGTTGACGGTGACACCAGCCAGCCAGTCCAACCACCGAGCGACCACCAGCCAGCACAATGGTGTCCAGCGGAGCCATGGAGCTGCGGATGTCTGGCTGAGGTGAGCATATATTGTGCCCGCCTGGCAGCGTTGCTAATTGAGACACAAACAAAATGACGTGTTGTCCTTACATAAGTAGGTTGGGCTGGGACTGGGCTTGCTTCTAATATAAAGAACTATGCACTCAAAGAAATCGATGAAGCTATCTAGGAATATCACTAAAGACATTACACTAGAGTTTGTATAGTTTTTTTATAGAATTCCATTTGGTTCTAATATGGTAACAGTTTTTTATCTTTTTAAGTATTAGACTTGCCTGCTTTGCGGAGTTCCTTATCGAATATTAAGGAATATTTCCGTTGAGAAATCCAGCTTAATTTCTATAAACATTTATAAATATTTAGCTTCTCACAGAGTAACAAAGAGTGTGATTAGTGATTCAGTTATTGTGCCAATTGTGGGCACATCCGGTGGTTTTTGTCAGTGTATTGGTACGACACGATATGGCGTGCCTTATCGCCGGCTGATCTGAGACCCAGACTTGTAGCAATGCGCATGGCTAATGGTGTGGCTGGTAATTAGGCAAATTAGCTGGACTCCCCTGCTACTGGGAGGCCCATAAATTAGCAGCAATTAATTAATGCCCTCTGCCTAATGCTGGAGCACACAGCCCGCTCGTCCTCCTGGTCCCTCTCGGTGTCCATCATCGATCTCTATTGGAAATCGAGCTGCTTAGAAAGCATTCTGCAGAGAGTGCTACCGCAAAGTGCTTGGCTTGGCCCAGAGCTGTTATGTTAATTAAGTCGAACGGGGAGAGCGAGAAAACGATTCAATTAAAGCCAACTCCAAATCAATCAGCCGGGATCAGCCAGCGGGCAAATGGAGCAGCGCAGTGGTTGTGGTAATGGCTAATGTCCAGGCCCTAAGCCCCTCGAGTGCAGGCATAAAAGGGAGAATAAGAGCCATAAGAACGTCATAATAAAAGCCAGCTGAGATCAAGATCTTGAGATACTGGGTCTGCTGCCACCGCTGGTAGCCACCGAGATGCGTATCGCTCGGATAATGCTAATGCTAATGCCCAGAAAATATTTTAACACAAGGTGCCTGCTGTTCACACGCTCTTCAAATGCCGCACATTGCATTGGATCTCATCGGAGTCTTTGAAAGGCGAGAGCGAGCCGTGGGTACGAGTAGGTAGCCACCAGATCCAGACCAGACGGACCAGTGCCAGGCCGGGCCAGGAGCATGACATGTGGAATGTGATTTGGGGTGCCTCGAACGGAAGACTCAATTAGAAGTTTGGACGGACTTTTGTGGGGATTTATGAGCACCAGGAATTTCACATTCACATATCCAAAGCTTCAACTGGAGTTGGAGTTCGAGTTGGAGTTGGAGTTGGGACTGGGACTGGGACTGGGAACAGGGCTGGCTAAATACCTGCCAATAGCTTTATAAGTTTGCCGCCACCACAGAATTATGACAAACCGCTGCTGCCGACAAAGAAAAACTCTCGACCTTCGAATGCAAAAGAGTCCCTGTCCCCAGAGGGGAAGAGTTTTGGCCATAAGCGCTAATTACATGCCCCTTGAGTCCCTGCCCTGGGACCGGGAGTGGGTTCGGGGGAAGACCACAAATTGCGTTGTCCAGAAGCTCGAAAGCGTAATCAAAAACTAATTTTAATCCTGTTTGGGGCCACAGCCACGCTGATGAGGATCAGATTAAGGCGGCTCGGCGCACTCACTCCCTCGCCGAAAAGCCAGAACCCAAATGAAAACGAAAATGGAGAGACAGAGAGAGAGACAGAGAGACAGACCCTCGGTGATCCGATCCGAACGGATCAGATCTTTTTAGCGGTAGGTCCCAGCTAATTTATTCTAAATGGCTTTTTGAAATCCCCGCAACAACACGAGAAATTTACTTATGACGTTGGCAGAGACAGAGACAGAGACAGAGCCCGATACAGATACAGATACAAAGATGCTTCCCAAAAAACGTAACCACAAAATTCCAGCATAGTCCGGCTCGAATCGAGATGATGATTCAGACCGGATCAAAGTCGATGGCGGCCCCAGGCCCTGCATATTTTTCTCACTTTGGCGTGTCTGCGTGTTGTTAGCAATGAAATTGATGAGTTCGAGCAGGTTATAAAACCCGATACCTTTTGGCTACCTTTGTTTGCTGCCTCTTTTATTATTATTATTGCTGCGCTGCGCTGCGCTGCCCTGTGCTGTTTGCTGTTGCTGGAGCTACGGAAAGCCGAAATACAATAACACAAATTAATATAAGAAGATGAGACAAATTTAGCCGCCGACAAAGTGATCTCTGCGCTGCTCTGCTCTGCTCTGCTCTGCTCTGCTCCGCTGCCTTGAGAAAGAGATTCCCATTCCCATTGCCTGAGTGCGAAGGGGCGGGGGCGCAGCTCTCCATAACGAGAAAGTTATAAATTTTGGTATTTTCTTTTCGATATGGATTCTGGAGCTCAGTCGACTGGTGGGGTCTTCTCTTCGGCTCCGTCTCCGGCTGCGGCCCCGGTTTCGGCTCGGTGACTGTCATTGTTGGCTGCTTGTTTACACGCTCGTAATGCGTCCCAATAACTTTTTGTATTTTGTTGTCATTTGTACCGCCCCGGAGGTGGGATGCTGCTGCCCCAGGTAGCTGCTCTGCCACAGAGTGGAGTTATTTTAATCTCAAAATGGAAGTTACTTTGGGAGATGCTGAAGTGGAAATTTTGGGACTTAATAAAATAATAACACAGGAGAAGATTATCTTGAAGTAGGCGACTAGGACTTGCTTCTCCTACATTAAGTGATAAATTTGGAAACTCTACAAGTTTTCTCCCTTGCTCTGGGCAGAAAGAACTTTCTCTGGTACTGATCTACGCCATATTTTTCCGTCCCCTATCGTGTCCCTTTCCCCATGCGACTGCCTCAGGTGGAAACCTTAAACATTTAGCGAATTGCTTGCCACTGCCACTGCCCAGCGTAAATGTTCCGTTCATGTTGGCCCGCAGCTATTTTGATTGCGGCATTACATCTTGTAA